ATTGCAATCGGAATTGAACCAAAGTTCCAAGAAAGTTGTTGAACTCCTCGAGGTTTGCGAGTTCTTGCTTCTAACTGAAACTCAACAAGGGAACTACAGAAAACTCTTGAATTTGTTCGTCAGAGAAATTCATTGAAAATTTCTGCGAATTCAAGTAAACTCAGTGGACAACAAATTTATATTTATAGTGTGTGCAAAGCAACAAAAATTTTTCTTTATTATGAGTTTTTGGAAACTTTATTATATTTCTTTTTTAAAACTTAAATGAAAATTTAAACGGAAAAGTAGCTAATAGATTTTCTTATGAAATTAGATAACAATTTAAATTACAATATATGTACCATAAAAATTTTTAACTTTACTATAATTTAAAAGATAGATAGAACTTGTATATGTTTTAAGTGCCCCCTATTTATCTGTCATTTGGAAGCACTAAAACCAGAACCAATTAATTTTCCAAAAATGTTTAATTACTTTTCGCTTTGATCCCACACACACAAAATCCATTGTGGTTGCCGAATAATTGCATTTAAAGCCCTTTACTTTCCAAATAGGTCATAAAGGGCCAACGCCATCCCCCACTTTTAGCCCGCAAAACTCACCTGTAACCAGGAAAAGGTGAGAAGAGCTTTGAGCTTGATTTTTCGAGTCCTTTGCTTTGTGTGTCTATTTCCCGGTAGACGATTTACTGATTTATTGATGGTCTTAGATTCGGATTTAGTTAATTGACATATTGCCGCTGAAATTTGCACTCGCGAATGTATCTCAAAGATGCGGATGTATCTTACGGATGCGGATGTATCTCGAAGAGATGCGATGCGGTGCGGTCAGATGCGATGCTCTCACGCGACTGATTTTCGGTGTTTTTGGTGCTCGGTGTTTTTGGTCTTCGGTATGTTTGCTACTCGGATTTTTCGGTGTCCGTCGGCTCTCCGTGTTCTCCGCTCACAGTTGTTGTTGTTGTCGTTCCTCCTGGAGGGCAAACAATTTCTGTTTTGTGGGACAACCGACAAACAAAAGCACAAGCAAACTGAATCAAAATAAATGCCTTAAATAATTTATGGCATTTCCAATGGCCACCGAATGTGAACAGAAAATGCAATCAAATTTTGGTTTATTGAAGATCAGACGTATTTTTTCGAATTAAATGTAATTTTGTTAAATTTATAATTCAAGAGTACCGTTAAAATCGCGACGCGCGAGAGAAGCGGAGAAAAGTACACTGAGAAATACGTCCACTCCGATGGCTGACTTGAACTGGATTGAAAAGCTGCCAGCCGCTTGCCGCTTTCACTTCCTTCTCGAAGAGAGTGGAAAAGCGAGAGAGAGTGTATCTATTAAATTCCATGTGTGGCATTCCATTGACACCCTTTTTCCCACATCGGTGACTTCGCATGTTCCACTGTCACTTGTTCCGCTCCAGGCCTCTCTGGATTCGTCCAGCTGATTGCCCCCTTCCAGGAGCTTCGACATTCGCCAGTATCTGATAGTATCTTCTAGATAACGGTTCAACACCAGTCAGCTGATTGGGATGATTTTTTATAAAAGTCTGAAAGGCATTTCAAATTGTTGTATTAAATATAATTTAAATTAATCATTTTCAGAATTTGTACCTTACTTAAAAAATTGAAAATGTATTTCTTAAAGTCTGACTCGTAATATGTCTGGACATATAGTTTTTTTTTTTTGTAACAAATTGCATATTAAAAACAAAGCCGTACATTAAAGTTTTTCAAATTGGACTTACAGATTTTTCTAAATAAAAATTTTCATAAAGGCGTAAAGTATATCGATTTTTTCCGTTCTATATATGTTTTATTATCCAAAGTAACTAAAATTGTAGCTCATATATTTTTTGTTATTATTTTCATTACACGCATATTTAAAGCAACCGCCATCACGGTATATTGTTATCTTTTCGAAAAAGTAACTTTTCAGATTGAGAGCGGATAACAGCTTTCGTTTCCAGTCCCAAAGCTTTGCAGCTAAGGAATATGAGAGACTGTGCCAGCTTTTCTCCAGCGAAGCGGTTACTGGGAGCTTTTACTCAACTTACTCAATAGCATTGAAATTGTTGTTGTTTCCCCGCTCGCTTTTGTTAGCGTTTCATTGATGCCCAAATATAGGTCAACAATGTGTTTTGAAAGTGGGTGGTTGGGTGGTGGAAGGGGGTGGCCAGCGGGCGGTGGGTGGTACATTGCCAACTGAATTATCAGTGTCAGCGAGCGAGTGCAGCGGTAAGAGCGATGCTGCTATCTTCCGAACACGGCAAACATTGTAAATTACTTCACTGACGATGATTGCTTGGGGTTCACCTCGCAACTTGCAACTCGAAACTCAGAACAAATTGCTCGACATTGCGCATACGCCGCGTTATCGGCGTGGAATTTATGACGGCAGACTAGCATTCTGTCCTGTGTCCTTTGGCCAGCCGTCGCCGACTTTAATTGAATTTTTATGCGCCGCCAGCAGTCCGCAGAACGTCAGAGGAAAGTGAAAAGTCTTTGCTGTCATCTTCGGCCTTTTTACTTGGCTTTGTGTAGAAAAAACAATTGAAGTCATAAAAAATAGACGTTTTCAAAATTAAATAGTTCATAGCTAAAGAAATTATGGAAATTCAAATTAAATATTTTAAGATATACGAAAATTCCAAAAAAAAAAAAACCCTATAAATAAACAATATTTTTCTATACATAGAAACGTAATACTGTGATTTTCCCATATGATAAAAATAATCAAAAAACATTTTCTGTGCCTTAAGTAATTGGGAACTCTTTTTACAAATCTAAACAAATACATGAAAATAATTCAAATGAAAAGTTTTTAGAAGTGTAAGGAAATCCACACTGATTACATTGCTCAGTGGAGAGCCGCCCCGGGCTCTTCTTAGTTCGTGTTTGTTGCCGGACTAGTGACGTCCGAAATTGGGTCAAAAGCTGAGCTCGCCCAGCTGGCTAAGCTGCCTTGTGTTGCTCCCGCTAAGCACATTCGCAGGATAATCCTAATTGCGCTTTTAACGCGCGACTTTCGCCCATTCCGTGAGCTTTTCAAGAGGGTTCGTTGCATTCCGCCAAGGACTCGCAACGATAAAAAGGAGGAAAGCCAAGGGGGATTAATGTTTCCAGCTGGCAGGACTGGCAGCCGCAGCCTTCTCCGCCCGAGAAAGTCACACCCCAGAAGGGCTCGTCCTCGGATGTGTTTCGTTCGGCACGTGCCATTCGGCATCCCCTGGGGCACCTGCAATTTATTACAGCCACTTGAAGCTGCTCCCTCGCTTATCGCCGAACAATTTGCTAAGGCCAAAATAATCTACTGACAACGATGACGTTGCGGGCAACAAAAAAGCCACGGAAAGGGCCGAAACCAAATTGAGTCGAATAGATAAAGGTGAACTGATGTCATTCCGGGAGCTAACAACTGGGTAATCTGCCATTGAAGTACATAAAAATATACCTATATAAAACCAGGACTACTGTTTATTTATAAGTTTATTTCTCAATAATCTGGGATTATTGTTCTTGAAATGTGTAATTATTATTGCTCAAAGCAAATTTATTATGTTTATTTACGGTACTCCTATCTTGTTCAGTAGTATTTATTTTTCAGTGGTTAATGCAGACGAAGTAATAGCCATCGGCCACATGTCGTATGAGTAATTCACCATTTCCAACTAACAACGAACTTAATGCCTTTACAAACATTTTAAATTCGATTGATAAAATAAGGCTTACCCTTTTTATTTGTAAAGGACAAACCGGCACTTGCACTTAAACAGAAGTTATGTTTATTTATTTTCTGTTTATACTATCTTTCCACCGATTGCTGAACAAACAAACACATTCAATTATGATTATAATACTTAACAAATTACTGAAGCAGATGACAAGCGCTGTCATATCGTCCGATAGCCAAACGCCTCTGCGAATGACGAATAGCCAACAAAAATGTTAACTTTTGGACTCTGTAATCTTTATTGAAATCGAAACCATGGCGGGGGGGCAAAAAAGGTTCAATAAAACTAACAAAGAAGTTTTCGTGCTTAGTGTTCAGGGAACCCGTCTATTATATGACACCTGATTGTTGCATTTACCAAAATGCGTAGTAAAGTTTTTATTTTTATTTATGACTTAAGGTCTTTAATATCGGGTAATCAGTTTGATTGTCAGTTGATGAAATGCGAAAAGTAATTGATGGTAAATGGTGAAATATTTACAAATAAGTCTATAGTTGAGTAAACAAACTCTTTGATATAAATAATATTTACCAAACTTATTATTATGTTAATTCTTAATATGCTAATATTTTTCTTTATTATTGAATTCCTCGAAGTTTTAATGGTAACTCTATTCAAACATGCTAATGCGATTTAATATCATTTGCACAACTATCTACAAATATTTTATTAATGATAACGAAATAATATTATAAATTTTGTGTGTGATTCTATAAAGGGCTTTTACTGGTTTAACAATTGTATGGTTAATTCGGATCGATCAAATATAAGAATAAGTATCAAAAAATAAACAGAAAGAAAGGTACTTCCCAAAATGTAGTCGAATGATTATAGCTTCGTGAGTCTAGGCACAACCCCTTAGAGCCCGGCACTTTAGATTGCGCTATATTGGCATTAGCTTTCGTTATCCATACTTCGAACCCATGACAAATCACATGACTCATTGGCAGGGTCAGTTACGTTGGAACTTGCACATAAGCAAATGTGCAGCTCATGGCTATATAATCACCGATTCGCGGGATACTCATCGATACATTTTACGGCTAATCATGACGTATGCAAAACAAATCGGGCTTGCAGACGGTCTATATCTCTTGGCGATTTAGGTTCCTCGCTGAGAGCGCCGCCATATGGTAACAGGGGCGATAAGGGCTGCCAAAAAGCATTCAATATTCCTTATCAGCTGAGATAACAGTTGGCAATACTCACACCGCCAGCCAAAACATTTGAGGGCCCCATTGAGCAGAGCTCAGACGTTTGCGAGACTTCGAACCGAACAGAACTACAAAAAAACTTCGATTAAAAACGGCTGTGGCAACAGAACTGAAATCTTCCGGCAAATATTTGCCAATTAAGAACCGTCGACGGCGCGTGTGTCTGTGAAGTGGGGTGAAGTGAAATTGGCCAGGCCAAGAAAAAACCACCAGCCATGTCCGAATTTGTGCGGCAACATGTAAGTGCGAATGCTATAAGTTCGAAAAGTAATACTTCCTGGTTGTCGTGGCAGTTTTTCCCTTCCATTCGCTCTGGTTATCACAAAATTGCTATGATAACCGAATCGTTTTATCACATTCCTTTGGCACTGCTCCGACTTATGCCCATCATGGGGCTCATTTTAATTTTAAACTTGCCTCCTTATCGAATACACTCGCCTACACGTGTGTTAATTGGAATTCAGTAACACCTGTGATTATGGGCATAAAGTATTTACGAGCAGGTAGCCCAAACTTAGATTGTGTCCACCATGGGCTTAGAAATGTCTCAGTTTGATTAAAAGAAAACATTATTAATTCCGGATACTTCCTCTCGGTGCAAAAACCTTATCAAACACTTGGCCAATTGTCGATTGAATTTCAAGAGCAAAGGAAAAGAGATACGAAATGGCGCGTTAAAGGTTTTAATATACAAGTAGAGTAAATCCAGAACAGCTTATAATGGAACCTATTGTAGTCCCCTTATCACTCTGTTTTTGTTTTTGTGCTATAATTCTTCAAAGAATTAGTACAACACCCATTACCGAAATAATTGCAAAAATATTTCCGATTAGTGACACCAATGAGTCATAGTTTATAGGGGTGATCTCATGTTCGGACACTTCGTTTAGCAAAAATATCTGGCTGACGATTATTATTTATGGTGAAAGCAAAGTTTTAAAACAAAGACACCATAATTTTTCAGCAGGTGTTTATGTCATTTTTTGGGAATAGGTTCTAGGTGACATCAGTTGAATTGGCAAATTGGTTTTTTAATCTTATCTTAAAGCCGATAAGCAAGGTCGTTGGAGATCAGTTGCCAAAATTTAACATTCTTCTACCCATAAAACTATTTATTTTAACATATTGAATTTAATGGTGACTCTTTTTTGGCAATTATCACCTGTTCGGCAGCCGTGTCATGTAGTGCTTCTTTGATTCCTCGATTCACAAATACCGATAAGACCTTTTTTTGTATATCGGCATTTGGCAGATAAGATAACGCCTGGCAACAACTACAATTATTTGCGAAAGTTGGCTACCGTTTGCTTTTTTAATTACCCATATTTAACTCGCCCTTAAAAAACAGATTTATATAACGTAGACAAAGAAAACCCAACTCTGACCATAAATCAATAAACTTATTATTTAATGTTTCTTTGGGTGTGGCAGATCTATAAAAAGTTCTAGATATCGTTGGATATTTAGGGGACCCCATAGGTAAATTATTTTACGACCGTTTGAACTATTTTCTGATTTCTTATCAAGTTCCTACAATCGATTACTTTAGCGTCAAGAAACCAAATTAAAGGAAATGAGATAACATATGGTTTTTCAAATTTATTTGGAATTTTAAATTGGATTTAAGAACAATTAAGAGACTCTCATTTTTACCTTTAAAGTTTGTTGATTTCTGACTTTATAGATGTGTGCAATGCAGATAAGGCTTTGCCTAGTTTTAAGACCTTATTATTGGCTTGGTTTATGGACTGCACTCCAAAATTTATAAACTTGCCGTGTAAAATAATACTTAAATGGCTGTGTAATCAGTTCATATCAGTACTCTATTCGAGATATGACCCACTAGCAGTTGTCAATGAAACGATTTTGGAGAGTACCTGTTTCTCTTTGAGGGGGTTAGATTTTAAAGATAATCCACTGAAACCTTGACACTAATCTTTTGATGTTTTTTTTATTGTTGATACAGGGAGAGTATGTGTGGGTGAAACCGCAGAATACCACCAGTGAATTTGCAGTGCCTTTCGGAGCTCGGATTGTGCGAACGGAAAAAACGCAGACCCTAGTTTGCGATGATCGGAACAAACAGTTTTGGGTGCCAGCGGCGGATGTCCTTAAGGCCATGCATGTAACCTCCCAGGAGGATGTGGAGGATATGATCACATTGGGAGACTTACAGGAGTATACTATTCTAAGGAATCTGCAGAATCGATATGCCAAGCAGTTAATATATGTGAGTTAATCGAATACAAAAAAAAAATAATATTATTTATTAATTATATTTTATTCATTTTAGACCTACACTGGCTCTATGTTGGTGGCCATCAATCCGTATCAGATTCTGCCAATCTATACAAATAGGGAGATTCAGCTCTACAGGAACAAATCACTAGCTGAACTGCCACCTCATATTTTTGCAATTAGTGATAATGCCTTTCAAAGACTGCAAAGACTGAAGGAGAATCAGTGTGTGGTAATTAGTGGAGAATCAGGTGCTGGGAAAACTGAGAGCACCAAGTTAATACTGCAGTACCTGGCCGCAATTAGTGGCAAGCACTCCTGGATCGAGCAGCAAATCATTGAAGCCAATCCGATTATGGAGGCCTTTGGAAATGCCAAGACTGTGCGCAATGACAACTCCTCGAGATTCGGAAAGTATATTGAAATCAGATTTACTCCAGAGGGTGCCATTCAGGGAGCGAGAATCCAACAGTATCTTCTGGAGAAATCCCGAATTGTCTTCCAGAGTCGCGATGAACGCAATTACCACATTTTCTACTGCATGTTGGCGGGACTTTCTGCTCCGGAAAGAGAGCGTTTGAAGTTGCAGGAGCAATCCCCCAGTCAATATCATTATTTGGCACAAGGAGGATGCTTTACGTTGCCTGGAAGAGGAGATGCCAAGGATTTTGCGGATATCCGAGCAGCCATGAAGGTGCTTTCCTTTAAACCAGAGGAAGTTTGGAGCATACTCAGTTTACTGGCGGCTATTTTGCATCTGGGTAACCTGAGATTCACGGCAACTGAGGTTGCAAATTTGGAAGCTGCAGAGATTGATGACACACCAAATCTGCAGAGGGTTTCTCAATTATTGGGAGTTCCCGTTTCTGCTCTAAATGCTGCTCTCACCCAAAGAACCATCTTTGTGCATGGCGAACATGTGACCACCAGTTTGTCCAAGGAGGCGGCCATTGAAGGACGAGATGCTTTTGTGAAATCCCTCTACGATGGGATTTTCGTGCGGATTGTACGAAGGATCAATGAGACTATTAACAAGCAAGTGGATCAACCCATGAACAGCATTGGTGTTCTGGACATCTTCGGCTTTGAGAATTTTGACAACAACAGCTTTGAGCAATTGTGCATTAATTATGCCAATGAGAATCTACAGCAGTTTTTCGTTGGACATATCTTTAAGGTTAAAAATTGTAATTAAGCCTTATTATATATTTACTAACCTCATGTGTTTTACAGATGGAGCAAGATGAGTACCAAAACGAGCACATCAACTGGCAGCACATTGAGTTCCAGGACAATCAGCAAATCCTGGATCTTATTGGCATGAAACCAATGAACTTGATGTCCCTCATTGATGAAGAGTCCAAGTTTCCCAAGGGCACTGATCAAACTCTGCTCGAAAAACTGCACGTTCAGCATGGCAATCGATCCATTTATGTGAAGGGAAAAACAACACAAACTTCTCTGTTTGGAATTCGTCACTATGCTGGCGTGGTTATGTACAATCCTTTGGGTTTCCTCGAAAAGAATCGCGATTCATTCAGTGGTGATCTGAGGTCTCTGGTTCAGCGATCTGCTAATAAGTATCTAGTGGACATCTTCCCCCATGAAATGCCCATGGACACGGCAAAGAAGCAGCCCACATTGTGTGTGAAATTCAGGAACTCTCTGGATATGCTGATGCGCACTTTATCGCAGGCGCATCCCTACTTCATTCGATGCATTAAGCCCAACGAATTCAAGGAGCCCAAGGTGAGTTAAACATTAAAAACAAAAGCACTATTAGAAAAAAACATGATTTCGGAGATGATAGAAACCTCTTGAGTTTTTAATTAAATTTTATGGAACAACAAAATATTTTTACATAAACAAAAAACTCTAAGATTCCATAACCTTTTGTAAAAAATTATTTTTCTTTAAAATTTTGAGCCTATTATCTCACAACACATTTATATTATTGCAAAGGTCTTTTGTCTTCTTTAAGGGGACGTTCTCTTTGTTTTGGTCGAAATGAAGGCAAAGTTCGTCAATTTTTGTGGGATAATGAAAAGGCGTACGAACTTCGGGTTTTGCTTTTGAATTCGTTTATTATTCAAGATTTTTTTAAAATTTATTTGATGGTGAAATTCAAAATGGCGGCTGCAAAATGGCGGCTTTCGTGTGCCTCCGCGCGCAAACATCGTCCCAAAATTACGAGCCTGCAGCCTCTTGTAGTCAACAGAAATAGAAAATTGTTACCATTATGTAAAGTTAATATACTTGTGCGAGGCACTAACCTAGTGGCATCAAATTGCGGCCATAAATTGACCGCTTAATGAACGTTCGAATTTTAAAGTTTGATTTTCGTACATTTTTTTTCAGTTAAACCACGTTGAAAAATTATAAATATTTATAATTATTGTTTTTTTCCGGAGTAGGTTAGTGCCCTAAAGAAAAGCATCTACTTTCATAAAAATTTAACATGAAGCAAATCGGTTCACAGAATGAAGCTGTGGACGCGTAATTTTGTTGAAAAACATGGTTTCGAGAAAAACGCGTTTAAAGTTTTTAGAGCATACCACAGCGCGCGTGACGCAGGTGTATTCGAGACGCTCTCATTGACAAACTATTCATCGTATCGAAAAATCCTTTCACACACATATTCTACGGATATGTGGCTTTCAATTTTTGCAAAAAAAAAAATCGATTTTTTGATCGAAAACAAAGAGAACGTCCCCTTAAGCATCTCAATAATAGCTTTTAAGTCAAATGTTAAATATTTAAAAAAAAATCATATATACATACTTTTAAATTATATAAAAATCAATAGTATTATATTTAATTTTCCTTATTCACTTTTCAGAACTTTGATAAGGAACTATGTGTGCGACAGCTGCGATACTCAGGAATGATGGAGACCGCTCGCATCCGAAGGGCGGGCTATCCGATCCGCCACGCCTACCGCGCCTTCGTGGAACGGTACCGCCTTCTGGTGCCACCGGTGGGACCTCTGGAGAAATGCGATTGCCGCAAGGTGGCCCGCGAGATCTGTGAGGTGGCTCTGTCCGCGGATTCCGATCGCCAGTACGGAAAAACCAAGCTCTTCTTGAGGGACGAGGACGATGCCAGTCTGGAGTTGCAGCGATCCCAACTGATGCTCAAGAGCATTGTGACCATTCAGCGAGGAATCCGAAGGGTTTTGTTCCGGCGATATCTAAAGAAATACCGAGAGGCCATTATCACGGTTCAGAGATATTGGCGAGGTCGCCTGCAGCGTCGTAAGTACCTGATAATGCGACAGGGATTCCATCGCCTGGGAGCCTGTATAGCTGCCCAGCAGTTGACCACCAAGTTCACGATGGTCAGATGTCGAACCATAAAGCTTCAGGCCTTAAGTCGTGGTTACTTGGTACGCAAGGATTTCCAAGCGAAGCTGCTGGAGAATCGAAAGCAGCAGCAGCTCAAGAAGGAGGAGCTTCTCAGGTTGGCCAAGATCAAGGAGGCCGAGGAGCTGCTGCGACTGAAGCAACTGAAGGAGCAGAAGGAGAGGGAGCAAAAGGAGGCGGCGGAGAAGCGACTGAAGGAGGAGCAGAGGCTCAAAGCTGAGGCAGCCACACGAAATGCATTGGCCATGGCTGCAGTGCAGCAACCAAGGAGAACCAGATCCGTCAAACAGGAGGCACCAAAGGCTCCCACTCTCCAGGCACGAATGTCCCTGCCACCAGCTCCAACCACTCTGATAGCAGTTGCTCCAATGGCCACCCGACCTGCCAGTGCCACCACCACCACCACTACGAACCGAATAATCCCCATTCCCGAAAGTCCAGGAACCATCGATGTGGAGTCCTCCAAGCAGATGGTGGACGACGTGTTCCGCTTCCTCAACGACGAACCCGATGTGAGTGGTCCCCTGGGGCCGAATGTCAAAGAGAAGTCTCTGATTTTCGAGCAGGCGTTGCGCATGCGCAGGGATGTGCCCACCAAGCTCCTCTCCCGCCCGGTCAACTATTACGAGGCGGCGCCGCGGAAGATCGTCAACCAGACCCGCCTCTAGTAGCGGATCGGGCTGGGACTGGAACTGCCCCGAACAAAATAGTAAAAAAAAGTAGCTATTGCTGATATTAGAGGAGCTGGTGATGGAGAGCAAACCCACCAGTTCGTAGTCCTGATCAGTGGGAAATGGTTCCTTAGGGGATGCGGGAGGGAAAAACAACGATAAAGTCTATTTCAGTTCCTAGGCACCATAGAAATACACATATTTAATATTTTTATATATACAATTTAAAAATTAAAAAAAAAAATGTTTTATTTTTGTTTAAATTTCTTTTAAAAAGAAAGTATTTTTAAAGAAAAATAACTAATCCACGTTTGACTTGAATTATATATTTAAGCAATACTCTTGGCTTTTAAATTATTGTAGTCCAGAAATGCTGTTCTGCGATTATTATTATTCTCTCGCTAAAAATATTCTACTTTTTTAATTAAAGAAAACTTTATTTCTTTAAAATTATAACTAACTAATTAATTATAAACTTCATCTACAATATGAACAGGTGCCATTAGAAAGTGTAAGATTTAGAGTTACCTGTTAAGTGAATCTGGGAAACGTTGTCCACTTATAGAAAGGCATGAATTCCACATTCACTTATTATTTTTATCATTTAAATTTTAGGGCCTTAAAGGGAGTGGAACCATTCAATTGATCAGTGAAACTTACTTTGTAATTTATCCAGCTAATATCGGCCTTGGCACAGATTGGATCAATCAAATTGATTATTTTCCACCCATTTGGTTCGTTTTAATGTACAAATCTAATACATAAGTACTTTAATGCCGGCTTGTATATATCTTGGCTTGTAAATGCTTTTTGTTACGTATTCCTAATATCTAAGTGTACCATTATAATTAAGCACTGTAAATAAAATCCTCAAAGGCATCTATAGACATAAATGCGCAATTTGTTCGTGTGTTTACTCGTCTGCGTTGGTTGTGGTTGTTTGGTTGTGGACTCTTGGGGAACTCCCCAATCCAGCTTTTGTGCTTTGTGTCCAAGTCCAAGTCCAGTGAGCGTCCCACATCACCATCTTCCGTACTCTGGGATTGCATTTCACCATTTCACTCTATTAAAACCTGAACGAACTGAGTCACAGGCACTTGTTCATTGATATTTGGACCATGGACAACTCATGTGTCCAAGTGGCTTACAAGGGCATTTCGGCGTTATCTTGTAGAACTTTAATTTATTCCATTCGGGAGATATGACATACAAGCGATTAAATCTACTTTCATATTGACGTGTTCTTATAATAACTCTGGAAATTTCCAAGCTATTTACCAATTTACTGTAATAAGGGAATCCTTGTTAAATATACCTACTATATACAATTTCGGCATTTTTAAATATTTTTTGCTGCCTATGAAGCCTATAAAGTTGTTCCTCAAAATAACTTTTATGTTAAATAGTTTTTCTTGACTTGGAAGATTCTAGAGTTATAGCTTTTTCAAGAGGGCCACTTGTTTTTTATTTGTATATTGAGCAGTTTTATAAGTCAATTAAATGAGATTATCAGGAAGCTTATTTATGAGGCAATTTCCTTACCTTTTGCCTTTATTTTGTTTTGTTTATTTTTATTTTTATTTCCTCCAATAATTTTTTGACTTATAACGCTTACTTGAAAAATAATTATTTTTCTTAAATTCGCATAACGCATAAAATGAGATATAAGATCTTTTAGATGTTTAATTCCTTACCTTTTGTTTACTTTTAAATGTAGAACCGATTCCCTTAAGAACTGGTTTTATTTTGTAAAGTATTTTCCAAAAAAAGGGTTGTTTTTTATACTTAACCTTGTAGACAATTCATGTTAATGCCTTTAACACCAATTCAGTTTTCTCCAAGCAGTTAAATAAAACAACCTCAGCGCAGCACCAAAAAAATACATTTTATTAGTCAAAAGTTGAAGAATTCCCCTCTTTCAATAGTCGAGCCAATTCTTAGAACGCAGATCCATGTCGTGTCGTCTTTAGTCAGCAACTAAATCGAGCCAAAACAAATTGCCGAAGCGGGACCCGAGTTCTTTGAAGCGTGGCCAGCACCACTTGCTATCAGGTGGCGGCAGAAATTTAAAACAAATACCAAATGATAAATGAAATAAAACGGGATCGTAAATAATCGCCGCCGTCCTTATCGCGAAGGCATATCTTCGGGTGCAGCATGCCCATACCATTCGCACTACCCTCACCCGCCAGTAAATATTTATAAAAGCTTACGAGTAGAGCACCTCTCGATAAGTGGCACTCAGATTACAGCTGTCGAAATAATTAATACGGCTGAATTGAAAACTGAGTGCTACTACACTACACAGTATAAGAGAGTGAAATAGGGGATAGTGGAGGAATTTAATTGAGGGTCTCAAATGTTTGTTTACCCTGTAATGAAACCTTTGTTTATACTTTAATTTCAGGCTGTCCTGAGAAAACTCAACAATATTTCTTCTGGGGATACAATACGCCTGCCTAAGCCAGTGCAAAATAATATTGACACCTCCGACTTCAGTTACTTGAAATATGCGGCAACTTACTTTTGTGGTGGAGCCACAGCTCAGCATGAAAGGAAACCTCTGAAACAATCCTTGCTGAAACATGAACTTCCTGTCGATGAAATGGCCTCAAAGGTGAGTACTTAAAAAAAAAATAAACATTTTTTGTATTAAGAATTACATAAATTCTTCTAGGCAATTTGGTTGACTATCCTTCGCTTTATGGGCGACATACAAGACATTGCTTCTTCGCCTTCTTTTCACACTTATGATAACGAAAATCTGATGGGTGAATTGTCAAACTTCTTGAACACTTCTGGTTTTTATAAGCCTCGTTTATTTGTGCGTCAGAGCCAAAGGCGAAGCCCAAAAATTATTGGAAAAAGCCATAAGGAAGTCGAGGACTTTTATCAACACTGGCTAAATGTTCCCAGTAGTCATCTAGATAAACTGCACTTCATCATTGGGCATGGTATTCTCAAGGAGAACTTAAGGTATGTTATTCTAAACAAGAAAGGAAGCTAGCTTCGGCAAGCCGAAGCTTATATACCCTTGCAGTCATCAAATATTTCGAACATTTTATTTGCTATTCAAGAGTCGTTAGAAAACTCTATATTCCAAAAATCATGATTTTCTGATAAGAAATAACAATGTTATCATTTTATTTCCGTTAATTCTATATAGATTTTTCGATCTTTCTTATGGCAGCTATATGATATAGTTGTCCGATTTTTATGAAATTTTTTTATAAATCAAGGCTAGTTAAAAAACTTGATTCTCAAAAAATCATGCTCGTGGGATAAAAAACAGCCATGCTATCAATTTATTTCCATTAATTCTATATGTATATATTTTTCGATCTCTCCTATGGCAGCTATATGATTGAGTTATCCGATTTTGATCAAATTTAATCTGAAATTCAATAACAGTTGGAAAACGCCATCTTGAATTCAAGTCGATCTGATGAAAAACAACGGCGGGAGAATTTTTATTTCATTCCCTCGTATGGGAGCTATCCGATATGGTCGGCCGATCCGGCCCGTTCCGACTTATATACTGCGTGCAATAACTACACACCTTTTGGGAAAGTTTCAGCAAGATAGCTTTAAAACTGAGAGACTAGTTTGAAGAGAAACAGACAGACGGACAGACGGACAGACGGCCAGACGGACAGACGGACAGACGTACAGACGTATTCTGATTCTACTCGTGATGCTGATCAAGAATATATATACTTTATGGGGTCTGAGGTGTCTCCTTCACTGCGTTGCAAACATCTGACTGAAATTATAATACCCTTTTGCTCTGCAAGGGTATAAAAATCTATACCTACAACCGGTAGATTTTTTATGTGTTGCTTTTCTTTTGGTAATCTTATTGCAACATTGGAAAATATTATAATTTTTAAGGGAACATAGCATTAAATGTTTCATTTATTTTCAATAAAAAATATTTTGAATTTCTCTAATTTATCATACTTATTTGCAGAGATGAAATCCTGGCGCAGATCTGCAAGCAGCTGTACCTCAACCCCAATCGCACTTCCTACTCCCGTGGATGGCTGCTCCTTTCGCTTTGCCTGAGCTGTTTCCCGCCCAGCAGCGATTTCGAGCCACATCTGCGTAGTTTCATGAAGCAGGGAACCGCCCAACTGCAGGCAGCTCCCTCCTTGCAGAGATTGGAGAGAACCCTGATGAACGGACCCCGCTGTCAGCCGCCTTCCTTGTTCGAACTCCAAGCCATTCGGGGTCGCCAGCCACTCAAGTTGGACATTCACCTGATGGACGGACAGCAGAGGAGATTGCAGGTGGATGCAGCGAGCACTTCCCGAGAGGCAGTGAATCAACTTTGTCAGGGCTTGGGTCTAACCGATACCTTTGGCTTTGGACTGGTTATCTCGATGAATGGAAAACTGATGCCACTGGGAGCTGGTCAGGAGCATGTCCTGGATGCGATTTCGGAGTGCGAACAGCGTCAGTTGGATGCTCCTTGGAAACTCTACCTTCGCAAGGAGATGTTCGCCACTTGGTTTGATCCTTCAGTGGACCCCAAAGCCACTCAGCTGATCTACAAGCAGATCTTGAATGGTTTAAAGTGCGGAGAGTACCGTTGTCGTTCTGAGAAAGATATAGCTATGGTTTGTGCTCTGGCCTGCTTTATAGAACATGGTCCCGGGGATATCCGCCGATTGAAACCCTCTGAAATAACAGCCTTTGTTCCAAGGGATCTTCTAGCTCCTGGTGAAAGAGCCATCGAGAACTGGAGTCGCTTGATAGCAGCCACCTACGAAAAGAGCTCTTATGTGAGGGAACAACAGAAGGAACTGCAATTGGAGGCTCAGAAGAGGGCCAAGGAGGACATCTGCCTGTTTGCCCACTTAACTTGGCCCATGAGACACTCACGACTTTTTGAAGTGGTTCGCAAGGAGGGACCCAAGCTGCAGAGCGATGAACTGATGCTGGGCATCAATTCCACGGGTCTTTTTCTCATCGACGAAACCGAACAGGTGCTGGCCTCCTGTAGTTTCGGCGAATTACTTAAGGTTCAGTTGGAGGACAACGATGAGTTGCATGTGATGACCTATCAACATGTTAACTTTGTGCTGCACTGCAGCATGGCCCACGATGCCAACGAAGTGATCAACTACATGCTGGATAATCTCCGCCAGCGTTCGAGCTACGGTGTGGCCTTGGATCAGGTGGAGGTTGAAGATCAGGAGGATTTGCTGGCACTTTCTCCCGGTGACCTCATCGAATTCGAGGAGGGTGTAACGGGTGCCAAGTTATTGGCTGGCAATGCCCAAGATTTCTACAGGGGCTGTGTAAATGGCCACTGGGGTCAGTTTGCAGCTGGAAATGTTCGCATTTTGGCCACCCTTACCAAGCCGAGCGAAAAACTTCGGGATATCTTCAGGGAGGGCAGATTCCAAGAACCTCCGAAACCAACTCCAAGAGCGAATCACTCGCGACGTCGTCAACACAATATCTCTCAGCTGGCTGAGACACAATTTAGGGAGCCATTGGAGTAAGTTGAGAAAGTAAGGAGGTTTTTGAACCCCTTTTAACTATTTTATTTTAGCTCTGATACGGCTCTCCTCTCAAAGTTTTCGCCTGAGCCACTGAAGGCTCCCCTTCTTAAGGCCGTAGTTAAAGTACCGCCCCTTTTCCAGCAAGCTTTGGTTATCCATCATCACATTCTTAAGGTAAGACGATACTAATTATACAAACTAACTAACTTATAACTTTGAAAACTACTACCGAATGCAGAGTAATCGTTAAACAGTTCTATAAGTTTTTGAAGTTTTACCACTGTTTTAAATTTATTAAATTTCCCTAAATTTCTTATGTAGTACATGGGCGACATTGCCAGAAGCAATCTGCCGGTGAACACGGACCTCATTTTCCAACCAGCCCTGCTGCATCCGCTGCTTTGTGATGAGCTCTACTGCCAATTGATGAAACAACTCACTGATAATCCCTCCAACGAAAGCGAAAAGCGAGGCTGGGACCTGCTTTACTTGGCCACTGGCTTGGTGGCTCCCAGTGTCCTGATAATGAGGGAGCTGATTATCCTGCTGCGCATGCGTGCAGATGCCCTGGCAGATGCCTGCCTCAAGCGGTTGAAGCGATCCTTGGCACAGGGACAAAGGAAACACGCTCCCCATCTCATCGAGGTCGAGGGCATTCAACAGCGCTGCCTTCACATCTACCACAAGATATATTTCCCCGACGAAACAGTGGAGGCTTTCGAGATCGAGTCACATACCCGGGGATCAGAACTCATTGCTGATATCGCTAACAGATTGGAACTCAAGTCACCTGTGGGATATAGCATTTTCTTGAAGACAGGCGACAGGGTTTACGCCATGCCGGAGGAGGACTTTGTGTTTGATTTCATCAGCCAACTTATCTTCTGGTTAAGACAGCAGAAAACTCTGCGTTCCGCTTCCGATGGTCACTACCAACTGCATTTCATGAGAAAGTTGTGGTTGAACAATCATCCTGGAGCGGACCTCAACGGAGATGTGATCTTCAGTTATCCCCAAGAGCTGCACAAATACCTGAAGGGCTACTATCCCATCGATTGCGAGCAGGCCTCGCACTTGGCAGGTTTGGTGTACAGTGCGGACCATGATGTTAGCTTGCAGAGACTCCCGGAAGTGCTGCCATTGTTAGTTCCCGAGGATTTGATACCTCTTCTAACTGTGGCAGAGTGGCGACAACAAATACTGCCGAAACTCCATCGCGATCACTTGACTGAGGACCAGGCTAAGATCCTGTTTCTCCAGGAACTCTCACGATTCCCCTGTTTCGGTTCCACTTTCTTTGTGGTGAAGCAACAAAACGAGGAAGCTCTTCCGGAGTCGCTTCTGGTTGCCATCAACAGCTCGGGATTCCATCTGTTGGACCCGCACACGAAAGAGATCCTTCGTAGCTACGAGTACTCCCAGTTGGGAATTTGGAGCTCGGGCAAAAACCACTTTCACATTCGCTTCGGCAACATGATCGGTGCCTCAAAGCTGCTGTGCAGCACCACCCAGGGTTACAAAATGGACGACTTGCTGGCCTCCTATGTGAGGTACTTTAATAAAAACGAGTAATTGATTTACTCGCACCAAATAAAACGTATTATTACAAGTAACCCAACTCCTTGGTCTTTTCAACCAGAGCCAGCATGCCAACCATCAGCTCCTCGCAGTTGGGAATTATCTGGACGGGTGGCAGGATAAATCCATATCGGCCCTTATCCCGATACTCGATCGTGTAACCGATCTTCTTGTCCAATTCGTTGAACACCCAGTCCACAGAGGTTCCAGTGGCCACATCTGTGATTAATGGTTCAATATTTAAGTGGTTAATAATAATTATAAAGGGGTATTTAGTTTGTTTAAAGGAAACAGTTTAATACTAAATACTTACAAAGCACATCAGCTGTAGATCCATATTGGTAAACAGTACCATAGGGCAATGCTTCTATGGCATCGGCGAAGGCCTTGCCAATCTCCAGGATATCGTCGTAGTTTTCTGGAAATTCCTCTTTGGTGTGTCCGTAAGGGGAAAGCAGATACTGTCCATAGGAGTGGAAGGATATGTACACTTTGAACTCGTCCTTGATCTTCGTCAGGTACTCCACCAAGGCCTTGGCTTCTGGCTCGGATCCTGGCGTGTCCCCGGCAAAAGTCTCGCTGCAGGGATTGTCGGATGCCCCACTGTTCTCCAGCCAATGGGAGTCGAAGTTGCGATTGGCATCGGCTCCGATGCAGGCATTCGTGGCATGTGGCTGACGGGTCTTGCGCCACATTCGATCCTGAATGGAAAGAAAATATAATGGTGTTTTGTTAACAACGAAAACTTGAGGGGTTAAAAGCCTTGCAGATATTCACGAATTTAGAAATCATCGGGAGAAATGCGGGAGTCTTGAAGCACAACGAAACCTTCATTTGATATCGATTTGTGTTTCTAGCCTTATCTGGGTTATCAGAGGACCGAATTGTTTGTATACCATTTATAAGCATATACCATAGACCTCTTAAATATGAGGTAAAGTCCTTAAAAATATTAACAGAATATTAAAAAGTTTTAAGGTGATTTGTTTACATCTTAGATCCTAGATCGGACTTATATTAAAATATGGCTTATAATGTATACAAAATTCGTAAGGTTTTTACACTAAAAAGCAAAGTTATGTTTAAAATCATTAAGTTCTCTGCAAGGGTACACAAACTATTTTAAATATTTTTAGGGAACCTGAATTCACTTATAGCAACCACTCACCTTCTTGTGGGAGTACTCAAATCCATCCACGTTGAAAACGGGAACAATGTGCCAATCATAACTTTCGGCCAGATTCCGCACCTCGGCGTCTGTGGAGGTCAAGAGCTGATGGATGAACCACGTGGCACTGGCCGAGGTGATCCACTCCCTGGCGTGGATGTTGGATTCGATGAAAATGCCAGGGTTGCCAGCCTTGTGCGAGATCTTGATGCCGCGAATGGTGCGACCCTCGTAGGACTGGCCCACAGTGAACTCCTCGGTGACCGAGGGATAATCAGCCAAGATTCCATCCAGCCAGGCCTCGATCTCCTCCAGCTCGTAGTACTTCGTCCACCCAAAACTAGTGCTATCTGCAGTAGTCGTGACTTGCTCCGCATCGATACGACTAAATGGGGATCCGATCATTATCTTTATGACTCCAAATGACCACGTACTAATGGTTGGCTAATCGAGCGATCGTATCGCTTCGAGTGGCTTTAACCCGTACATTGTGTCACGATTACTTACGCTTGCACATTTTCGATCATTAGCTCACTGGTGATGTTGTTGAACTTAAGAAGCTCCTGGAAGTGCTCCAGTTCCTCGGGACTAACCATAATGTCCAACTGTCTTGAGCGTTCATCGTATTCCTTCCAGATATTGTACTACCCCCAAAAAATTTGAAGTTATATAGATATGCTGACTGCTAGCACCGAAAAACTTACCTTCTTCGTCAGCTCACCAATTTTCTCGATTGCAGCCAACTGAATTTTATTCCGAATAGTCAGCTTGTAAACCCTGAAGTTATCATAGCGCTCCTTGGGAGAATCCTTAAGGACGCCGGCACTTGAAAGGGCCACCAGAGTGGCAAGCAACCACAGCACACGCATTTTAAACAACGACTAAACTTGTGTTACTTGGATCAACCCCAAAGAAACTAAACCACTGGATTATCTGCAGCTAATCTTTATTGATTTATTGCACATTGGGGTTTCCAGCATTTACTGCGTGGTTTTGAGCCTAAGATAACCCAACTCTTCACACTTATCTAAAAGGGCCGCAATGCCCACTAAAGCCTCCTCTGCGTTGGGAATAATTTGAACCGGGGGCAGGATGAACCCATATCGACCAGTGTCCCTGTACTCAATGGTGTAGGATATCTCCACTCCCTGTTCATTGTACGCCCAATCGTTGGTGGCTCCAGAAGCGGGATCTATCGAAGAAGAACATAGTTATAAACTTGCATATTTAATACTTATTTTATAGACTTACAGAGAATATCAGCAGATGATCCATATCTGTAGACAGTTCCATATGGCAGACTCTCAACCGCATCGCCAAATGCTTTGGCAACCGCCAACAGATCGTCGAAATTGGGCGGGAACTCCTCTTTGGTGTGTCCATATGGGGAAAGCAGGAGCTGACTGTACGAGTGGAACGCCAACATCACATTGATTTTGCCCTTGATGCTGCTCACATAATCCGACATGGCCTGAATTTCCGGCTCGGAAAAGGGGTTTGGTCCACCGTAATCCTCGGCGCAGGGATTTGAGGAAGCTCCATCGTTCTCCATCCAGTGGGAGTCGTAATTTCGGTTGGGATCCACGCCAATGCAGGTGGAAATTTCGGAGGGTTGGCGGGTCTTGCGCCACATACGGTCCTTAAAATAATATATATATTTATAATACAAAATAATGGGAGATAAAATTGTGGTAATACCTTCTCGTGGGTATAAACAAACCCATCTACATTGAGCACAGGCACTATGTACCAATCGTGGTTTTCAGCGAGATTCCTTACAAAATCGTCCTCGGAAGTAAGGAACTCATTAATCAACCAAGTGGCTGTGGCGGAAGTGATCCACTCCCTTGCATGAATATTAGACTCAATAAACACTCCGGGGTTATTCGACTTGTAGGAGATCTTAATGCCACGAATAGTTCGACCCTCGTACGATTGTCCCAGAATAAAACTTTCGGTGATTACTGGGTAAGCAACCAGAATCTCATCTAGCCATGCATAAATTTCCGCCAGGGAGTTGTATTTTTTCCAGCCAAAGGTTCCATCCCTACTGGCCTTTAGATTGCCCTCTTCCTCTGAATCGATTAGCCTATAAAAGATATTGTAGACATTTAACTTTAAGTGTCATAATAACAATAATATAAAAAATGTACTCACTCCTGTACGTTGCTTATAAACAGATTTGCACTGACGTTGGTCCTTTGGATTTCAGTATCGAATTCGTTAAAAGCGCCCGGACTTATCATCAAGTGCAACTCATCCTTGGCTTCGTGCCATAACCTGAACTAAAAACACTTAAGCATTACCTATTCAAGGAATCATTCAATTATATTTACATTTTCTCGATCTTCCGCGAGTTTTCTTAGGATACTTCTCTGTTCTGCAGTTTCAAACTTGACCTTATAGACCGAGAAATTATCATAGCGCAGCCTTCCGTCCTGACCCAAACTCGCTCCTTGGGCCAAGACTACAAAAGTCAGTGCCACCAGAACACTATTTATTGCCATGCTGAGTTCTTGGAATACAATAAGCAACTACCCATTCCATTCACATTAAAGCTAGACGATGGCTATATCGATCGGGTCATAATTAGATCATAAAGATAATCGCACAGAAGCTTACTATTAAACGATCGATATAACCATTTCGACCACCTTATCACTTTGAAAATCTGACCGACAAGCACATAGTTTGGTTGTACATATAATCTGAAAATATTCTGCAACTCATTAATACCACAGTATGAGATCGCAATCAAAACCACTTTGAGGAAGTACACGATTTTTAAATTTTCTTCACTTTTTGTTCAGTTTTTTATTTAAGTATCTCTAAAAGTATTCATGAATCTTCGATAATACTTTTGTTTAATTTAAAATCAACTTGTTTCAGTGAAGCTTGTATAACTACATCGTGGCAAGCAAGCAAAATATAAGCAAAGAAACTCAGCCCGATAATGTTTATCTGCAGCAAACTTTTATTGACTAATTGCACACTGAATTTCCCAGCACTTACTGTGTGGTCTTGAGCTCAAGATAACCCAACTCCTCACACTTATCTAAAAGGGCTGCAATACCCACCAAAGCCTCCTCCGCATTGGGAATGATTTGAACGGGCGGCAGGATGAACCCATATCGGCCAGTGTCCCTAAACTCAATGGTAAAGGACATCTCAATTCCTTGTTCGTACGCCCAATCATTGGTGGCTCCAGTAGCGGCATCTATTAAAAAATTTGTTACTTTAAATATGATTTTTTGATCATCTTTCCATCAACTTACAGAGCATTTCCGCAACTGATCCGTATTCGTAGACAGTTCCATATGGCAGACTCTCCACCGCATCGGCAAATGCTTTGGAAGCAGCCATCATGTCGTCATAGTTGGGTGGAAACTCTTCGCTGGTGTGTCCATACGGAGAAAGCAGGAACTGACTGTACGAGTGGAAGGCCAACATCACGTTGAATTTGTCCTTGTTGCTGCTTATATAATCCGACATGGCCTTAACTTCCGGCTCTGAAAGGGCATTCGGCCCTCCGTAAGTCTCGGAACAGGGGTTCGAAGAAGCTCCATTGTATTCCATCCAATAAGAGTCGTAGTTTCGGTTCGGGTCCACTCCAATGCAGGAGGAAATATCGGAGGGTTGACGGGTCTTGCGCCACATACGGTCCTTAAAAATAAATATTTATTATAGCAGATAGAAAGAGCTTAATTTTTGACATTACCTTCTCATGGGTATAAACAAAACCGTCAACATTGAGTACGGGCACTATGTACCAATCGTGATTTTCGGCAAGATTCCTCACTCCCTCATCCTGGGAGGTTAGAAACTCATTTATCAACCAAGTGGCTGTGGCGGAAGTGATCCACTCCCTAGCATGAATATTGGACTCAATTAACACTCCAGGATTATTCGACTTGTAGGAGATCTTAATGCCACGAATGGTGCGACCTTCGTACGATTGACCCAAGATAAAACTCTCAGTGATTACGGGATAAGCTACGAGTATTCCATCCAGCCATTCATAAATTTCCGCCAGAGTATTGTATTTTTTCCAACCAAAGGAACCATCACTGCTGAGCTTAAGATTGGCTTCTTCCTCTAAATCGATGAGGCTGAAGGAGATTTAAGAAATTTTATTTGAAGTACCAAATTACAATACTATATCTTTCTACCTACCTCTGAACGTTACCAATAAAAACCTCCGCAGTGACGTTGATCTTTTGAATTTCGCTTTCGAGTTTACTAAGAGCGCCGGGACTTATCATCAAGTGCAACTCATTTTTGGCTTCGCTCCATAATCTAAACTAAATAAAATTATTATTATCGTAAATTCAAAGTCTTACATAACCCTTGCTTACATTTTCCCGATCCTCTGCGAACTTTGTCAGAAGATTTCTTTGTTCTGGAGTTTCATACTTGACCTTGTAGACCGAGTAATTATCATAGCGCAGCTTTTCGTCCTGACCCAAACTTGCTCCTTGGGCTAAAACTACCAAAGTCAGAGCTACAAGATATCTATTAACCTCCATGCTTATAGCTTGAAATGCAATGAACAACTGCCCATTCTGCACAAATTAAGTCCAGACGATGGCTATATCGATTGGATCATAACTAGATCATAAAGATAGCCAGACGGAAGCTCACTGTTAAACATTCGATATAACCATTATGGACGCCTTATCATTATCAAAATGCTCAAAAGCTCTGAAAAATATAAAGACCCAGCCACCTTCAAAATTTTATATACCCTTGCAGAGCAGAGGGTATTATAATTTCAGTCGGAATTTTGCAACGCAGTGAAGGGGAAACCTCAGACCTCATAAAGTATATATATTCTTGATCAGCATCACGATCAGAATCGAAATATGTCTGTACGTTTTGTATGCATATTAAATTTTTTTTTTTTTTAAAAGTTATTTTTAAGAAAATTTAAATGAAAACCTTGTTTTACTTTATGCTTAAAACATGCGCTTGCAATTTATTTTTTAAGATGTACCTTTAAAGAGATTTAACGGCATTTAAAATCCAGTTCCGGAAAGCAGGGACACCTGCGAAGGCTACAAATCCGTCGCATTTTTTACCCAGGCCAAATGAGGTAACACCGACAAGTTGCTGGTCAACGACCAAAGGTCCACCAGAGTCGCCAGCACAAGTGGATTTTCCACGGGAATGGACACAAACGTTATCCTCAGTGGTGAAAAGATAATTCTGGCAATCTTGAATAAGAAGTTCTACGCCTTTTAGATGTTCCGGATATTCCCCGAATTGGATTTCTTGGTAAACTGTTACTCTCACTGCTCCCCAACCAGAAGCCTTCGCAAGAGTTTCGGGTGACGGATTCTTTTCGGCTAAGGGAATGCTCTGCACTTTGCTGGAGAACACAAGGGGCTCACTTAATCGCATTACAGCAATGTCGTTGACACCTGTTTTTTTGCTGTACTTCTCGTGCGACTTTATTGCTGCAACGTGGATGAGAGTCCCGTAGCTCTTTATCCATGAGGAGCCTGCGCGCACTTGGAATTCTTCGGCTCCAAGTTGTTTTCCTTCTTTGGAAAAGCGGCAGTGGGCAGCAGTGATGATAATGTCCTTGCTGTAAATGGAGCCACCACAGATATGATTCCCTCGTCGTTGTATAGACACCTGCCACGGGGCCGCTTCTATCTCAATATCTTCTGCACCGATGATGCGTTCTTCAAGTTCGGGAACTCGTCCTGCGGACAGGAAGTTGATTGCTGACAGCAAAAGAAAGCACTTGATGAACATCTCGAATAGTTTGGTTGGAATTGAAGACTAATGTTTTCACTACCGCTAGAGAAAGGCTTTTATAGGCCAAGAATGACATTCTTAGAATAGTTCAATTCTTAATTTAGCCAATTGTCTTTGCCACTTTTAAGATAAGGAAATTGAAAAATACCAAACGAAATAGAGTTAAGTTATTCCCAAGCAATTTTCAAAAGGTATTTATAGGTACAATCGTTCGCCTCATGCAACAAGTATTTTTAATTATTTTGTTCACTTATTTTAAGAAGACAATTACTTTATTACTAATTTATCAAATTTCTATTTCTAACCCAAGCATAACCATATTTTCCATATTTTGGAATTTAGAACAATGGTGACAAATCAAATATTAAAATGCTTAACAAAAAAATTGTTTTCAATAAAAATGCAATCTTTGTTGTTGACTTCAAGACTATTATTAAAAATTTAACAAACATATATTCTAACAAAAAATTTTCTATAACAACTATATATATATAAAAATGGAGACAAAAAATGTGCGGAATCGCATCACATGAAAACGGCTTGACCGATTTGGCTGAAAATTGGTAGGGTGGTAGCTTACAGCCAGGAGAAGGACATAGGATACTTTTATCCCGTTCGACATACCAAAAATCGCATATAAAGTGAGTTACTACCTCATCACACTGACAAACACACGCTACCATAGCATTTTAACTCAATTTTTGTGGTTTTGGTGAATTGAAGTGAAGTAAAGTTTTTTGTGATTTTGGTGTCAGTCATTGAACTTCTCCTAAACGGCTGAACGGCAGAAATTATAAAGTCAAGTTTGGAAGACGACGTTGTTGGAACATAGGTCTATTGAAGTGTTTTCAGTTAGATTTTCGTTTTTAACAATGCCACAAACCAAACTTACAAGTCTAGGCCGCAAATGACTTTATAATTTCTGTACAAGTTCTAGACTTATGAAGAAAGCATGAATTAAATGTTCAAATTGACTTCAGGAACACGTTAGAATCTGGATCCGTGCCGATAAGTAAGCCGTTCAATGGTTCAGGTGGTGTTTCAATTTCTGGTAGTTGCACTTTTCCTGACGCGCAACACATCCCAGCTGGCTCATTTTTAAATTTCACAGCATGACAATGCGGACATTACTTGTCCATAGCACCAATTACCACTTTTGAATGAGCATAAAAATCTTCTGACTTCATTGCGTTCAGTTCGTGTATCTTCTGGCTCTTCTTGATGCAATTGCGCTATTCTTTCGGAATTTCTATTTCGCATGTTTCGAGATATACTTGTATCATGGCATGAATAATAAATAATTAGTTATAAAGTAATTGTCTTCTTAAAATAGGTGAACAAAATAATTAAAAATACTTGTTGCATGAGGCGAACGATTGTACCTATAAATGCCTTTTGAAAATTGCTTGGGAATAACGTAACTCTATTTCGTTTGGTATTTTTCAATTTCCTTATCTTTAAAGTGGCAAAGACAATTGGCTAAATTAAGAATAGTTCAAATAAGAATGTCATTCTTGGCCTATAAAAGCCTTTCTCTAGCGGTAGTGAAAACATTAGTCTTCAATTCCAACCAAACTATTCGAGATGTTCATCAAGTGCTTTCTTTTGCTGTCAGCAATCAACTTCCTGTCCGCAGGACGAGTTCCCGAACTTGAAGAACGCATCATCGGTGCAGAAGATATTGAGATAGAAGCGGCCCCGTGGCAGGTGTCTATACAACGACGAGGGAATCATATCTGTGGTGGCTCCATTTACAGCAAGGACATTATCATCACTGCTGCCCACTACCGCTTTTCCAAAGAAGGAAAACAACTTGGAGCCGAAGAATTCCAAGTGCGCGCAGGCTCCTCATGGATAAAGAGCTACGGGACTCTCATCCACGTTGCAGCAATAAAGTCGCACGAGAAGTACAGCAAAAAAACAGGTGTCAACGACATTGCTGTAATGCGATTAAGTGAGCCCCTTGTGTTCTCCAGCAAAGTGCAGAGCATTCCCTTAGCCGAAAAGAATCCGTCACCCGAAACTCTTGCGAAGGCTTCTGGTTGGGGAGCAGTGAGAGTAACAGTTTACCAAGAAATCCAATTCGGGGAATATCCGGAACATCTAAAAGGCGTAGAACTTCTTATTCAAGATTGCCAGAATTATCTTTTCACCACTGAGGATAACGTTTGTGTCCATTCCCGTGGAAAATCCACTTGTGCTGGCGACTCTGGTGGCCCTTTGGTCGTTGACCGGCAACTTGTCGGTGTTACCTCATTTGGCCTGGGTAAAAAATGCGACGGATTTGTAGCCTTTGCAGGTGTCCCTGCTTTCCGGAGCTGGATTTTAAATGCGGTTAAATCTCTTTAAAGGTACATCTTAAAAAATAAATTGCAAGCACATGTTCCACATTTATGAACGAAGGTTGAATAAAAATGTTTTTTAAGCATAAAGTAAAACAAGGTTTTCATTTATATGTTCTTAAAAATAACTTTTAAGACAAAAAAAAAAATTTAATATATGTACATACAAGAAAGGAAGCTAGGTCCGGCTTGCAGTTATCAAATATGTCAAACAAAATACATATAGGCTAAGCAATATTAAAGCTATGACGATTTTTCAGTTAATTTTCCGTATTTTCGACAAGAGTGGTCAGAAAACTCTATATTCCGAAAACCATGATTGTCTGATGGAAAACAACTATGTTATAATTTTATTTCCGTTATTTCCATATAGATTTTTCGATCATTCCTATGGCAGCTATATGATAACGTTGTCGGATTTTAATGAAAAATTCAAGGATTATTAAAAAGCTTCATATTTTGAAATTCATGCTTATGGGATTAAAAACAACGACGTTAAATTTTTTTTCCATTATTTATATATATATTTTTCGATCTTTCCTATGGTAGCTATCTGATAGAATTAACCGAATTTAATATAATTTAATCCGAAATTTAATAGTAGTTAGAAAACGCCAACTTGAAGAAATCAAGTCGATCTGATCAAAAACATCGGCTTGAGAGTTTTTTATTTCATTCTCTCGTATAGGAGCTATCCGATATAGTCGTCCGATCCCGACCGTTCCGACTGATCAAAAAATAAATATACTATATGGGGTCTGAGGTGTCTCCTTCAATGCGTTGAAAACTTCTGACTGAAATTATAATACCAGCAAGGTATACAAATTTAAAATCGTTGTTTTTTATCAGAGAAGCATAGTTTTCTAAATAATAGAGTCTTTTAATGACTCTAAAATTTAGAAAAAAAATTTCATAGTAATCGGACGACTACATCATATACCCCTCTATGTATTTGGTTCGACATATTTGATGACAGCAAGGGTATACAAGCTTCGGCTTCATGAAGCTGGCTTCCTTTCTTGTTTATTTCATAATCCGTAATTTAACCTTTACAAATTGTATTCAAAAGCGCAAAAAATTAATTTAAATCAGAGACACGCTTGTTTATTTGCACAAATGTTACGCTACTTTAGTCTCTTTCTTGTTTAAATATTTTTATTTATGCAAGCCCAGCTGTTCCTATTTTTTACCAGTTACCTCAAAACTGGGGCTTGCCATTTATTTTCTTCGTTCATACAGTTTAGTCGAAATGATTCTATTGAAAGCATTCTTGCTCTTGATAGCAGTTCAGGCCTCAACCACTTCACTTTCCACACCACAATCCTATGAAAACTTTTCCGTTTTCAGGGTTTATATTAAAAATCATTCTGATCAACAAGTGGTTGATCAACTCCTTGAGCAACATGTAATCGTGAGTTTGCTTTGTTGAATAAGAAAATTACATACAAGCTTACTAATATAAATTAACTTTAGTACAACTTATGGCACCGATCCATAACCGAAGTCCATATAATGGTGAGCCCAAGGGCTCGGGACAATTTTCTGGCTGTAATGCGTAAGGAAAACATTGTAGTAGAAGTAATGATAGAAAATGTTCAGGCGTAAGTTTCTATAATATAGTGAAAGCACCTCCAATGTGACTTATCCCTTATTTCAGACTTATAGATAAGCAGAGCGGAAAAATTCTTTCAATTGCTGGTACTGATTTAAAAAATGCCGACATTACAAGGACTCTATTTTGAATCAAAATTAAGGACAATATAAAATTTGTTGCACTGGAAAAATTAAAAAAAAATTTTTAAAAAAATAAAACAAAAAATCAAGATAAAGTTAAGAAAACAATATTTTCAGCCCAAGATACAAAGTGTGATAGATTCCCAAAAATGTTTAATATTAAACATGGCCCAATCACATGATTTAAAAGCCATTGATTTATTGTGTTCTTGAATATTTTATTTGTTATTGGTTGAAATTTTCTTGAATTAAGGACACTGCTGAACTGAAGCCCTACTCCTTCTTGCAACCTTCCCCGCAGTCGGAGCCCTCGCAGATGTCGCAGAGGGAGGACTGCACCTGGTAGTACTCGGTGGCGCGGCGCTCGGTGTCGTAGTAATCGTAGAGGGAAACGGAGGCGGGCTTCTGCTTGGCCACCGCATGGGCCTTTGTGGCCTCCACCGGCAGGCAGCGGACATCCCCAGGAGTCAGGCTATCGAAGTAGACGACCACCGTGGAGTCGGAGTTCTTCGTCTCGACGCGCTTCACCCGATCCACAGCCTCGATTTTGCCCAGGCTCTCGGCATCTCCGACGAAACCGGATGGCAAAGCGATCTCCATGACGGCCATGTTCGAGTCCTTGTCCTTGTCGGCGTCCTCCAAGGGCACGTACTCCGCACAGATGTCCACCACCAGCAGCTGCTTAGGCGATTCCTTGACCGTGGGCGTCACCTTGAAGGTCGGCTTCTTCTCCTTTTCAGCCAGATTGTAGCGGTACGAGAACTGAACCATCGCAGATCCCGTGCCCTTGGCCATGAAGTCAACCTTGCGTGTGTCCTTGGGCAGAACATGGGTCTGCAGAACCAGAGAGTTCTCTGGGTTGACCTTAATCGTTTCATTGGATCCGCCCGCGGGAGCAAACTCAATGTCCATTGTTCCCGATCCCGAACCCGTTTTGTAGGCGAACTTCGTGAGTGCCTGCAGTCCGATCACCGTGTCCTGGGTGGATGAGAACCCTCCGTTGCTGTTGCGCTGCGAGATCAGCCACTTGATGATGGGCAGGGACTGCTCAGCCGAATCCTTTTCGAGGAGAGCGAGCAGCACGTAGGAGGTGATCTCCACATCGTTGCTGCGCGGCTTCCAGTGGAAGAAGCGATCGGTGTCATCACTCGAAGCTGCAGCCTTGGACCACCACTTGCGATCGTTTTCGTTCTTGGCCACGCCCTCCAATTTGGCCAGGACCTTCTCCGCCTGCGGGTGCTTGGCCAGCTGAAGGGCCACGGCGGCAATGGCCAGGGAGTACTGGTCGTCGGTTTTGTCAACCTCCTCGGCCACGTAGCCAACTGCCTTATCAATGGCACTCTGGTACTTCGGGATAAGTTCCTTTAAGAAAGAACAGGATTTGTCGGTTGAAAAAATTATTTTGATTGCTTGTCTAAGATAATTCATTATCTATACTAATATTATAAAGAGGTAAAATTTGTTTGTTTGTTTGTTTGTTTGTTTGTTTGTTTGTTTGTTTGTTTGTTTGGTCCGATCTAAAAAATTCTTTCACCGATAGAAAGCTATATTATCGTGGAGTTAAATAGGCTATAATTTATTTTGAAAAAAATTAGGGATCCGTAACAAAATTGCAATATTGCCGCATATAAAGTGAGTTGCTCCTCATCGAACACGCTCCCTTAGCATTTTAACTCAATTTTTGTGTTCACTGTGAAGTTGTAAAAAAAAAAAGAATTTTTATTCAATTTAAGTTGAACTGTGAAAATTATGTGGATCGTGCATTTGAGGATAAATTCACCACTCTGTCCATAGTCCAAAATGCTTAGAGGACGACGTGCAAACATTGGCCGCAGACATCCAAGCCAGCAACAAGTATATTCACAAAACTTCAGCGAAGAGAGACAAATGAGCACATGGAGATCATTGGCATCATTCAATCGCTTGGCATTCCAATATGACTCCACTGCGAACTACAGTGATAATGAAAATTTAGATATTGGACCAATGGCGACTATATACCGATATTGCAGTGCGTTAAAGTTTAAAAGAGAAACGGCTGGATTGTGCTGCGCAAGTGGAAAAGTCAAACTGGAAAAGTGTTAAATCACCATTTTTCTATACTTCCATATATTTGAAAAATGTTGCAATATTGACTTTTATGTTGTTAAATTGTGTTGACCAGCGAAGCGGACACAGGCCCTCTAGTGTTTTTATAATTTTATAATAGATTATTATTATAAAATATCAACGAATTATTATTATTGTAAACAAAAAGAAGAAGAAGAGAACACATTGAATTAAAAGAAGGAATTGAAATCATTAAAATAAAAGAACATCATTTACATTATATCAACTAAAAATTAAATCTTAATGAGGAGAGAAAACAGATATTTTAAATTAAATTTTAGATTGTTTAAGCTTTCATAGATTCCCGGCAAATGATGTTCTTTTATTCTACCAATGGTAGTCTAGGACCTTTCCCAAAACCTTAGACTTACATGATTCTCGAAGAAGGCCAGCAGGATGAAGGAGGTGAGACCCAGGGCATTATGGTTGGCGTTGTCGAAGAGCTTCCCCACCTCGGGGAACTCGCCGCTCGGCTTCTGCTTCGAGACCAGGAAGTCGAGACCCGCAGTCACGACCTTGGGGTCCACATCCGTGTACTTTCCGGCTTGATGGAAGGAGCGCATCACGTAGGCGGTGAGCCAGGTGCTTCCAGAGGCGTCGGATTTACCAAAGGCACTGTAGGAGCCGTCGTCGTGCTTGTAGGTCAGTTCCCTCTGGTAGCCGATCTCCAGAAACTTCTTGGCCTTCGCCTCGACGGCCGGCAACCTGCGACCTGTGACCTCCAGGTACTTGAGCACCAGGATGTTGGGCACAAAGTTGACCATGTTCTGCTCTCCGCAACCGTAGGGCATTCGCACCAGATTGTCGAGGTTTTGAAGCGTCGGTCCCAGTAGATCGCCCACCACGGAGAACTCGATGAATTCTGACTGAGGCACTGCTTCCTTGGGGATATCGGCCTCCAAAGACTGCGACATCTCGCGCTGATCCTTCAGGTTGACGAAGACCGCCCGGTTTTCGAACTGGGTTACGCCTTCCGGCTCCACCTTAAGTTTCTGGTGAATGGTATCGCCGGCAAGAGGAGAGGTGGCCGTGATTTTTAAGGTGGTCGATCCCACGTTCTTCGGTCGGATCATGAACGAAACACTCTTGCCACTGTTGGCTGGAATCGTCACCCTTTTGACACGACGCACCTCATCGGAGGCCTTCTCCAGCACCTCGTTAGTGGCCTCGGTGAACTCGTACTCCTGATCGGAGTTGTCCATCACAACCTCGGCATCGACGGTCTTGTCCAGGTAGTTGAAGATCACCACGGGAATAGCTATCACTTCACCTGCGATTCAAAATAAGTAGGTATGATACGTTATTTCCTATAATATTTTCAAGTGCCACTCACCTCGTTTCACTGAGTAAGGAAGATTGGTGGATACGAAGAACGGTTGGAACACTCGAATCTTGCTGGGATTCTTGGTCAATGCGATACCGGAAGTCGGGTTAAGGGAGAACCCTGTGACCACCCACGAGGTAATCGTGTCCGGGATTTTCTTGCTCAATGTAAAACCATCTCCTTCCACACTGCGTAGAGATAGCATAAATAGGTTTAACTTCTGTGTCATTAAAAATGGAGCAAGCATAGAAACACTGGACTGACAGATGCAAAGGTTTAGATAGGTGTGAGAGGTTAGTGAACAGAAAAACATGCATGAGAAATATTAAAAGGCATTAGGGAAATCTAGTTACTCTGTGTTAAAAGCTTCTAATTCGTAAATCCAAGTCTCTAAAAATGTTGAGCGCACGCCAACATTGTTTACAAAATCATCCGCTTTTGTGGGTGGTTGTTGTTGGTTCGTAAGGTCAGTAGGTTTTTTCGTAGTCCTCTGGAGTTTAGTCGTACCCCGTCTTTCCGCACTGACTTTCATGATAGGAACAAGGCTTTTTCTGTCTATGCCACGCCTTAAATGTTTTAAATAGGGCAATACTTTAGTAGATATTTATGATTAACTGTAAGGAAATATTACTACTGAACGGATTTAAAAAAATCTAAAGGGGAAGCTCACTTCATAAGACTAAAGCCATGCTGATTTTATGAGAGCATGCCGTTTTTGACATAAATGAGTAATTATAGTTATATAGTATCAGCATAAATAGTGGTGCAGTTGGTGTATCTGGTGATCTTATTATTGAGGAATATATCCAGGTGCGAAACTGAACGAAATTCTAATGCTAATAAATAATGGCGGGAAACTCAGCAAACTGTGCATTGAACTATAATGAATGAATATTGCTTTCAGATTGTAATCTCTATGGTATAAGTGATAATCTTGAAAACTCGTTCTACCTCTTTAATTTTTCTTGCATGCTTGAGGCGTTAGCTCGTTGGAAATAATTTATTTAATTAATTTTAACAGAAACCTAACTACTTGTAGTTCCTAACGTAATTCCTAAAAATATATTTTAAAGAGGGTAATCAGTATAAAATTGATAAGAGATTGAAAACTCCCTATATTCTGGGGTCATGTGTCATTATGGCATGCAAAATGAAGTAGGAGTATAAAAGCGTTTCAGCCATTACTTTTCAAAAATCCACGTTTCTGGAAACTCTTTGCGTATTGTTGTTGGTGGTGGCTGGGCAATCGAACTGACAGTTCTGAAACTGTTTAACTGTACACTGCTCGCAGGACTCGCAAAAGCGACGCGATTATTAAATAACCCAATGCGGCCCATTGGTGAACCCATTCTGTATGAGAGTCCTCCCGGTAGATAAAAGTCTCTCCTTAGGGAACCTTTGTACACAATAGCAACGCGTGTTATAAGTGGATTTAATGATATAGTTATTCAAATTTTTGTTTTTACTATTTTTACTTAGATATTCTAAACCTAAAAAACATGTCCCGTTCAACACAAAAAAAAATCTCAATCTATTCAAATTTCAATCTACTAAAACAGGAAAAGTTTTAAGGTAAAATAGTATTAGAGAAGAGATGTGTTAGTCAAAAACATAGGAATAACGTAAAACGAAAAAATTTGATTAGGTAATTTATACTTTTCAATGTTGTTAAATATCCAATTTTCCGGAAACTCTTTTCGGATCTGAGGTGTAGGGATAGAAGGCGGTGCAAAGGATCCGCTCCCCGATACGCTATTAAAAAACATAGCCTGTGGACCAGGAATGCCAAACCCATGGCCAAAAATTATTCGTCTACCTGTTAGGCACATAGCATTCGACTTTGAGAAACGGATTTCGGAAGCGATGAAAAAAAACAATGAAAGTTCATCGAATAGGAATAGTGATCACTCAATAGTTGTCGGCATTAAAAAACTTAAAGAAGTTTCATTGATATAATTTTTCAGATTTCTGTTTTAACTGTAGAGATTTTCTAAGCCTAGTAAACATTTCCCGTTCAACACAAAAAAAACTAAAGCTGTTCAAATTTCAATCTACTATATGAGAAAACATTTTAAAGTAAAACAGTATTAAAGAAGGATGTGTTAGTCAAAAACATAAAAATAACATAATTCTATAAAAAACTCGATTAGGTATTTCATACTTTTCAATGTTGTTAAATATCCAATTTTCCGGAAACTCTTTTCGGATCTGAGGTTCAGGGATGGAAGGTTGTGCTAAAGACCCGCTCGCCGGCATGCGGTTAAAAAGAACAGCCTGTGGAACAGGGATGCCAACCCCGGGTCTAAAAAATATCCGTCTATCTGTTAGGCACATAACATTCGACTTTTAGAAACGGATTTTAGAAGCGGGGAATAAAAAAGAGCAATGGACCATCCAACACGAAAGGGACTTGGGAACCCCTGGTCATACGTGTCGGCATTAAGAAACTTTAAGTTTAACGGAAATCCTTTTCGAATACGTGGAGCTGTACTATTTAACTTTAAAAAAAATTGGGGTGTTATTAGCTAGAAATAGATGTAGATGATAAAGCGTTAAAAGTTAAAATAAAGCGCAAGGATAACACAGTTCATAAGACACATTAATTAGACCACAGGCAAGCGTCATACTTTTCAGCGTTGTAAAAGATCCAGTTTTCCGGAAATTCTTTTCGGATCTGAGTTTCAGGGATGGAAATTGGTGCGAAGGATCCGCTCCCCGGTACTTGGCTAAAATACATAACCTGTGAACCAGCAATGCCAGCACCGGGTCTAAGAAATATCCATCTATCTGTTTGGTACATAACATTCGACTTTTAGAATAGGATTTTAGTAGCGGGGAATAAAAAAGAGCAAAGGATCACCCAACATGAAAAGGACTTGGGAACTCTAGTCATGTGTGTCGGCATAAAAAACAAAAAGTTCATCGGAAATTCTTTTCGAATATGTGGAGGTATACTAGTAAATTATAAAAAAAATACACGAAGATGATAGAGGGTTAAAAGTAAAGCACAAGGATACCACAGTTCATAAGAAACATTAAATTGACCATAGACAAGCGTAATACTTTTCGGCTTTGTGAAAGACCCAGTTTTCCGGAAATTCTTTTCGAATCTGTAGTGCTTCATTTGGTGGAGGGACCATCTGATGACTTGCAGTTACACCTTCAAAAGCTTCCATTTCTAAAACAGGTTGCACTAAATTAAATTCCGTATAGTACACTTCTGACTCATAGATATAATCATCTATAGAAATAAACAAAAGTACAATGTTAGAAGCTAAGAACTTAAGTTGGAAAATTATGCTCCTTAATTGGTAAGTAATTTTTAGAGCCTTATTAATGGGACTCTTTCATTTGGAAACTTGCTTCTTATGAATAACTAGGAAACCCTGTCTAATATAATTTGTAAACCTAGAGACCTAATGCCAAATTAAAATCTGTTACGAACGAAAAAGAGGGTAAAATTGTTAATTCTATGAATTAAGCAACACTTCTCCAAGTACGATGAAGTCTTTTACTCGATGTACCCTGGATTAAGTCGGGTTAGATTGAAGGAAAATATGTGTGGGAAAATCGAACATGCTCTAAAAATTTAAAAACCCACCTCCCATTGCCAGATGCTTGCCATATCCAGACTTCTGCAAAGTTGGTTCGAACTACTTCGATTTTCTCAGGTTGACTTGAAGAAATTGAGTCTACTTCGTCGAAAAGAACTCTATCTTCTGGTGCGTAAGCAACATTTTCATCGTCGATATCATATTCATTCGAAAAACTATCTATAATTTACATTTAAAGTTAATTAGATTTGGTTATGTCAAAACAATTACTATTAATTCATTTTGTTATGCTAACCTCTTGAGAAAACAAAAAATCGTTTGTTAAAAGTCGAATCGGCTTTTGTTAATGGAATAATTTCAATTCAACGGCGAAAAGCGAATATGCTACACATCATTATTTAACTCAGTTTTAAGGAAACCCGCGTATTAGTAAAATATTGACAGCCTCAGCCTCAAGAGATTGCTTTTGCTCAAGAAATAAAAATTAGGAAGCAGATATAGCAGTGCATTTAGGTGCAGAACATGTGGTGTCATTTTCTGGGCACAAACCTCCGGCCGATCGAATGCCAAATCCAAACATCGGCAAAGTTCTTACGTATCTTTACCGGCTCTGTGGGAATCTCGGTATTTGGGGGGAAGTTAGCAACTACAGGCATTGGAGGTAAGGCACCCAATGCGGTCTCATCCAAACTCTCTTCGAAAACATAGCTTCCCGGATCATCCTCGACATAGTCAGGAAAATCTGATGGAGGTTCGATTTAAATGTGAGAAAAGGACACTTTTCTTATCTAGCTAAAAATTTAAATTTTCCTATTTAAACTAACATTTAACATTTTTGCCTAAAACTCTTGGCTAGATCCTAGAAAAAATATATTATTCCTTAGTTTAAGACTCCAATCTTACCCGTGCTGTAGGGATAGTTGGCATTGGTTAAAGTAACCAATCCAGAAGTCTGTCCAGGATAACGTCCAAAGCCGCGCTGCCAAGGTGTTGATGTCGAGAACCTGTTTAGGCTATTGAAGATATCATCTTGGCTTAAATCGTTTCCGGACTTTAGCAACAGGACACTCTGGTCCACTCCAAGGAGACCCACAAAGGAGTCGGCATCGGTTTTCACCTGCAACTTGATCTCTTCACTCGGCTTTGCGTCGAGTGGAGCCGAGATATCGATCTATTTAGAAAGAAAGCAGACAATTAGTTGAGCTCAAAGCGCACTTTAATGGATAAACTCACCGAATTTTCAAACTCTTTCTGGAAGTCGATGGTCTTTTCTTCAAAATAAAGGTCGTTGTTCAGGACATAGTGGATGTAGATAGTTGCCTTGGGCACCATGCTAAATGTAGGTGTGAACTTAACCGTGTATGACTTGAGATCTTTTGGCACATCCACATATTCACTCAGCACAATATTTCCCCTGGCCACGACCGTGTACACAAAGTAAGGAATATTCTCGAGCGACTTTACATCGAAGGAAACTCGTTCACCCAATTTCGGCCTAGATGAAAAGTTTGGTAAGATATGTGCTTTGGATTTTGGGTTGATACTTACGATTTCGTGTTCACTTGAATCTTTAGGGGCTCGTTGTCCTCCCTGGTTGGCTCGAACTTTGAGATGGACCCGACATGGCCGCGTGACCCACCAAAAGAGGCAGAAATGCGATAGAAGCTACCGCTTTCGGGGAGTGAAACATCAAAGGTGGCAATGCCATTCTCATTCACAGGTGCCTCGAACGAAATGGCCGAGTCTTCTGAATATGGGTAACTCATCGTCTCGAACGATATTTTGACCTTCTTCGTGGCATCTGTGACTGGAGAGCCATCTACGTTCTTCACAGCAACTTGATAGACGAACGACTTGTTGCCGTGGAAGTGGGCTGGGCTCTCAACACCTTCGAACTTATAACGATCTTGGTGGAGACGAACCGTTGCGGAGGCATTCTGCTTGTTGCCAGTTAATTCCTCGGTGACGATGGCAAATAGCTTCATCGGAGGTGTGTAGTACCTTGACATCATGATATTAGGCACGAACTCCACATGACCCTTGCCATCGATGTCGATGGTCTTCTCCTGTTTTGGTCCCACAGAATCACCAAAGTATCCATAGCCCGATTCCAGTGAAACTGTGGCCTTGCCCTTTACGGGTTTGCCATACGTGTACTTGGCACGGATTGTGGCCTTGATCACATTGTCAGCAAGGACCACATCCTTGGCCGTGTCCACGACCACCTCAAACTTGGGCAGAACGTACTTGTCCACCTCGAAGGACTTGGTCTCCCGATTTACTCCGTCCACACTGACTGAAATCTTCCAGGTGCCCAGGACTGGCTGCTCGGACAACTGCAGCTCTCCCGAGTAAACGCCTTTGGTCAGCTTGATGTCCGTTAACTGCTTAATCCTGTTCTGGGCTCCATCGGTGATTACCACTGATATTGGCTTGTTAATCTTGGCGGGTCGAGTGTTCTCATCCAGGAAGAGGACGCGGAATTGAACCAGATCAGCTGGCTTGTAGGTGGCCTTATCGGTCTGCACAAAGGTCGAGGGCTTCTCGTCCGCATAATTCAGCTTGGTTGAGTTCTTGAACACAACACCGGATAATCCCTCGGCCGTGAGGTTGTAGTCACCATTGGCCAAACTGGGCACTTCGAACTCCACATTCTGGGTGGACATGGGCGGCAGTTCGATTTGCTTGGTCTCATTGTAGGAGGGTCCATTTAGGCTTACTTTGACCTGACTCGGCCCATCTGCCTGGTGGATGGAAACGGCTACGTTGTACTTGGAGTTGGATCGAATTGTGCCAGGCCCCACAATCGAATAATGCCTGTAAAAAATATAATTTTATCAAGAAGTAGTAATTTTAGGAAATTTTTTTATTAATTTGGTAATGTGATAACCGGATTTGAGATTCCTAATTGCAATTTCATGTTTATTTTCGTAATTAATTGTCTGACGTTCTACTGTTCGCTGATTGATTTTTTGTTTAATGTTCTGATAGTACAAAAAGGTTGAGTTGGCTTTTTATTAAAAACACACTGGGAAAACCCTCTGTTGATGGAACAATAACAAAAATCAAGGCATCAGCTTAAATAAATCTGCCATACAAAATTTACTTTTGTATTGATAACACAATTCCAACAAAAAAAAAATGTAATTAAACAGTTGATTCGTGTTTCCCAACTATTAAAAGTTCCCCGTTTTATGAGAGGCCAGAAACATAATATTTCAAGCACTTCACTGAACCTGGAATGATTATTTTATTTCGAATTTATTTATTTATTTATTTATTATTAAAGATAGAGAAGTTTACAAAACTAGACTAACTTAGGTGGTAAAGCGCTGGCAGCAAGGCCTTCGGCTCTTAAGGTTAATGTTATTTAAGTCTATTAGTTTATTTACATGTTGTTTATTGTAGTTTTGCTACTTAGTTGGTAATATTAGTAATTTCTGTACATTTTTGTTTGTGTTTTATATTTTGTGGTAAAGGTTTGAGGTTTTTAAGAAAGTTAAGATTTGTTCTACATTATTTGGGTTGAGGTCGTTAAGGAGGTTTATTGGGTTTGTGTTTTTGAAAATGGATAGTTTAGTGGATAGGAGTGATGGGCATGAGTTAAGTAGGTGGGGTATGGTATTGTCGCCTTGGCAGAAGGGACATGGCGAAGTTTGATTTTGATTGAAGTAGTGTTCATGTGTAAGTTTAGTGTGGCCTAACCTAAGGCGTATTATTTTTATTTGATCGAGTCTGTTCGATTTGGGATGGAAGGATCTAAAGTAATTGTCTATGTTTGAAAAGTCTTTGTTCATAGTTTTGTACCATTGATTGCAGTGTTCTATATTTTGTCTATTTCTTGTTCGGAATTCTTGCTTTAGATGTCTGTTGATGTCTGTTTGATTTATGTTTGGGGTGTAGATGAGGGGCATATTGCTAGTCGATTTTGCAGTATGGTCGGCTAGCTCGTTGCCTGCTATGCCTACATGACCAGGGATCCAAAGTAATTTTATTTTTGGAGCTAGTTTTGTAAGAAGTGATCTGATTTTGTTGGAATAAAAGTTGTTGTTGTTGGTGTTTGTTATGGTGTCAATTGCTGAGAGAGAGTCAGAGCAGATCATGAATTTTCCCCTTGTGTTTTTGACTTGGTCGATCGCTGTTAGGATGGCTATTATTTCAGCAGAAAGTACTGATGAATATGGGGGTAGTATACCATATTTAATAACGTTAGTATCTGTTGTGACTGCGTAAGAAACAGTGGAGTTCATTTTTGATCCGTCCGTGAATATGAATTTGTGTGTTTTATGGTTGTTTTTGGTGTGTTCAAATAGTTTCCTGTATGTATCTGGTGTTGTGTTTTGTTTCTTATGTGCTCTAAATGTTGTATCTATGAGATTGGGGAGATCCCACGGTGGATTGTATTTGTGTAGCTTTATTGGTTCGTACGGTAGATTTAATGATTGGCAGAGATTTATTGTGCGGTCTATAGTTGATGGGTGTTTTTTGGGTTTTCTGAGTTTGATGAGTTTGTGTATTGGTGTATCTTTGGAAAGTATAAGGTTTTTTGTGAGTTTTGCTGTTTGGAAGTCTCGTTTTTGTTCTAGTGGGAGGATATTGGCTTCATATAGTAGGTTATTTATGGGTGTGGTTCGGTAGGCGCCAAGGGCTAGACGGATTGCAGTGTTGAAGGGTGTTTTTATTTTGTTTAGTACGCTTTTCGGAGCCTGTCCGTATAGGAACAAGCCATACTCTATTTTTGCTATGACTGTTGCTTTCGCAATGTGAAGTAGTGTTTGTGTATTGCAGTTGTATTTAGTGCTAGAAAGACATTTAATGATATTTAATTTTTGGTGCAGTGATGGAAGTAGTGATTTTATGTGTGTGTCCCATTTGTATTTATTGTTTAAGGTTATCCCTAGGATTCTGAGTGAGGTGACTTGTTGTATTTGTATACTGCTGCAGCTTATTGTGCTATTGCAGCCGTGTTTTTGGCAGATATGTAGGTGTTGGCATTTGGCTAGGGATAGCGATGCCCCTGAGTAAGAACACCAGCTGTTTATGTTGTGTAGTAATTGGTCCAGGTTAAAGTTTAGGTTTTTGTTTTTGTTAAAATTTATTATGAGGAAAAAGTCATCGGCGTATGCATTAAATTTAATTTCTTTGTGTAAAGATATAATATTTGAGAGCTTATTGTATGCTATGAGGAACAGAATTACTGATATGGGTGATCCTTGGGGGATACCATTAGATAATGGAAGTGAGTTGGACGTGTGTGGTCCGACACGCACAATTATCTTCCTATTGAGCATAAAATTCTTTACGTAATTTATTATTTTCGGGCCCGTTTTCCATTCTTGGAGTTGATCGATTATAGTGTGCACGCCTACTCGGTCAAAGGCTTTTGAGAAGTCAAGAGTGATGAGGGAAGTGTGTCTCTTTGACTTTGTTATAAGATGGTCTACGTAGAGTAGACAATCTGAAGTCGATTTGCCTTTTTTAAAGCCAAATTGGTATACGTTAAGTAGTTTGTTGTGGGTCACAAACCACCACAGTCTTTTTGCTATGATTTTGTCTAGGGTCTTTGCTAGGCAGCAGTTAAGTGAGATCGGTCTGTATGAGGTGACATTTGTTTTGTCAGTTTTTGGTTTGAGGATCGGTATGACTAGGCTTATTTTGTAGGCTTGAGGTATGTGGCTGTCGAAGATTTGGTTAAATAGATTTTTTATTCTGTTTTTTGTGGTAAGGGAACTTTTGCGTATCATTTCGTAAGAGATTCTGTTTAATCCAGGAGTAGATCCTTTAAGTGTTTGTAGAGCTGAGGTCAATTCAAGGAAAGTAATGTTTTTTTCTATTTTATTGGCTGTTGGGGTGGGTGTGTAGTTGACTATGTTGATTTTGTATTTGTTAGTTCGAAATTCGTCTGAGAAGTTAAGGTCACTTGAGAGTTCTGAGAAGTGTTGGGAGAAGGAGTTAGCTATTTCTATAGTGTTTGTTGTAGTTGTGTTGGTTATGGGATTAAATAAGGTATGGATTTGTTTGACTGGGTTAAGTCCGCAGAAGCGTCTTATATTGTTCCATATTTTAGATGAGGGCGTTGTAGGTTCTATGGAGGAAGTAAGAATTTTGGAAGCTTCGCTTTTACTTCTTTTTATTTCAAACCTGAACTTGGCGTTTAGGCGTCTGAAGTTTAGTACATTTGTTAGGTTGATATTGCGGTTTAATGTTTTCCAGGCTAATTGTTTTTCTTTTTTTAACCGAGCTAGTTCTTTGTTCCACCATGGGACTTTGTGGGGTTTTGTGTTGACTGAGGTTTGGGGGATGGAAATATTTGCGCTGTGTAATATAATTTTGTTGATTAGTGCTGCTTCTTTGTTGACATTAACTGAAGTGGGAAATGTTACGTTATTTGTGTCTGTGAGAGTCTCATATTGTTCCCAATTGGCTAATTTTAGTTTAAAAGAGGGTTTTCTAAATTTGTTTATTTTGTTTTGAGGGAATAGAGAAATAACTATTGGAAAGTGGTCACTGCCGTGGAGATCGTTAAGTATTTCCCACTTGGAGTGTGGTGCTAATGATGGTGAGCAAAGTGAAAGGTCGAGATGTGTGAATGTATTGTGTGTTGAAAAGTGTGTGGGGGACTTGTCGTTTAGTAAGATTAGTTGTGTATTGTCGATGAATTTTTGAATTATATTCCCTCGAGAATTTGTTTTCGGGGAGCCCCAGGCTGGATGCCAGCCGTTAAAGTCTCCCACAATTAGTGAGGGTGTTTGGTTCATGTATAAGGTGTCTTCAAGTATTTGATTTGTGATGGTTCTGTTTGGGGCAATGTATGCTGATTTAATGTATATGTTTTGCTTGGATTTAATGTGGATAGCTAGGGCTTCGATGTCGTTTGGAATGTTTACTATAGAATATTGAATTGATTTGTGTACTAATAGTGCTACGCCGCCAAATCTGTTGGTGGCTATGTTTGTTAGTAGTGTGTAATTTATTGGAGTTGGTATGTTGTTAGTGTATTGTATGTGAGTTTCTTGAAGTGCGACGATATGTGGAGAGAATTTTTTTATTAGGATTAGGAGTTGGTTATAGTTATTTGTATAACCTTGGATGTTCCATTGAATTAAAATTAATGACATTTTGTAAATGGAAAGGGTTTTAAGGGTATTCCTTAGAGTAAGGGAAATCTGTGGTTTTTTTTAAAATGATTCGTTGTCGCTGCTGTTGATAGGTTTGTTTTTGATGAAAGATTTGCTTTTTGGTTTAGTTGGTTTGAAGTTGATGCAGAGAGGGTTTGACTTATCTTTAGGAGACATTTTACGTTTAAGGTCCTTTGTGAGTTGTGATCCGTATGCTGATGTTATCTTGGTGTGGATGGCGTTGTCCGTTTCCATGGTTTCGATGTCGTCTTGATTGTGATGGTTGTGGTTTTGAAGATTTTCTTTTGGTGGCGGTGTTTTTTTGGTTGATGTGGATGGGGTTGTAGGCGTGATTGACTGATTGTGATTACAGGATGAGGTTGTTGTTTGTACATTTGAGGATGGAGATTGAGATTGAGATTGAGGTTGAGCTTGAGATTGAGTGTGAGATTGAGCTTGAGATTGAGATTGAGCTTGAGGTTGAGTTGTTGATTTTTCCTGTGTAGTGGTGTTTGTGAGTGTGTTTGCGTATGAGTTTCTTGTTTTGGATCCGTGTCGTTCAAAGTAAATACTTAGAGCTGTTTTATGGTCGACTTTTTCGGTGATTTTAATGGCAGTGAGTTCCTGTTGTTTGCTGAAAGTGGGGCATTTTCGGTCTAGAGGACTGTGTTGAGAGTCAATTTCGGGATTGTTTTCGCAGTTTAGGCATTTCTTAACGTTTTCGCAGCGTTCTCCTTCGTTGGTGTGTTTATCTTCTGAACAGTTTACACATTTCTCTGTGCTCTTGCATATGGGTGCAGGATGTCCGTAGCGAAGGCATTTTCTACAGCGTAGTGGTCGAGGAATGTAGTTTCGTACTCGAATAATTTCGTAGCCGACTCGTAGTTTTTCTGGGAGTTGAAGTGATTCGAAAGTAATTATTATGAGTCCAGTTTCTGTTAGAGAGTCGTTGTTGGTGTTTTGCTTCTTCATGATTTTCTTGACTTCAATTACTTTTTGTGGTTTTAGTTCTCTTAGGATTATTTCTTCGTCTATGTTTCTAAGGTCATTACAATAGATAACACCTTTTGAAAAAATTCAGCGTTTTGTGTTCGGTGGCTGTTATTTCGATATCTGCGATTTTGGTAAGCTTGAGAAGTTTTGTGGCTTGTATGTTGTTTTTTGTTTTAATCAAAAGTGCGCCGTCTCTGGTTTTTTTCACTGAGTCAACTCTTCCTCCGCAGGCAAAGTCTACAGATTTTTCGATGATGAAGGGGGAGACAGTTTTAAGGGAAATTCCATTGTTGCTTTTAATTACGATGAATTTGGGTTCTCCTGGTTGGCATAATCTCGTGTTAAGTTTTGATATATCCGGTGGCTCGTGCATGGTTGCTTGTAAAGGGCTTGCGCCCGAGTTGCAAGAATTGGAGTGTTTTTGTTGTTGTTTTGTGGTTGATAATTTTTAGCCAAGATTTTGCCGAAAAGTTTATTGGGTTTTTCGCAAATGCGAGGTCGTCGTAGTTGTAGTCCTTCTGGACTCTTTGGGGGTTGAAGTGGTGTTAAGATGCACTGTTTTAAATCGGTATTTGCTTTGTTTTAAAATATGATTTTGTATTTTATTTCGAATACTTTCACTGGGTATTCCCGTTTCCGACGCGTTGACAAAAATAGTTTTCATCGATGATTTAGTAAGAAAACTAACTTAAGCTTATTTGTCTTACAAGCCGACTGGGTTTTCCAACCGGTTTTTAGGGATTCAGCAAAAATAAATCGGACAGAAAAAAGTTTTTTATACGTGGCATACCGATTTTAATTGGGTACTATATATGATTTTTTCTTAGGAAACCTTTCCGATGACCTCGGTTCCTTTGTGACGCTGATAAGCTGATCAATCATTTTAAGTATACATATATGTAGATAACACAACTTACCCGGTGGCATTGATTAGCAGGGCGAATTGTAGAACAAATCCGCACAAAAAGATCTTCAACATTTTGCACGCGCACTAAAAAATTATGCTTTATTATTGTTACCGCATTCATTAATTGTTTCCCATTATTTGTTTTATCACTCTTTTTACAGGCAGACGAACAACTATTGAAACTTACCGAGAGAATCGACCGATCGCCAACTGGGGGCGATTCACAATGAGCTCGTCTCAATTCGAGACCGGCTTAAGTACAATCGATGGGAGATCGAAAATGGTATTTCTCGAGAGAGGCAGTGCCTCGTTTATTTTCTGTTTTGTTTCGGGGAATTCACAGCCTTAAAATGAGCGGCCTGATGGATCGTCACGTAAATAACAATTTGATGTTCGCGTCATGGATGATAAGTTTATTTGTCAGTTCTGTCTCTTTTGTTCAATTTAAGAGAGGACGATAGCTTTTGCAGAGAAAAATCATTGTTAGTAAACATTTTAATAATACAGTTTCTCTGTCCATTATAACTTGTGATAAGAAAGGTCACAAAGCTATACTTCTTAAGACAATTTTTGCAACTATCTAGGGTCGGCAAATTTATATGTTATGTCTGCCTGTCTCACAGTCTTATCTCTAAATTGGTCATCCATTTCCTTTGTATATAGTTTTCTTTTGAAAGACCACCTGCTATCACGAGATCATTAACCGATGATTCATAAAAAACAATATAATATTGTGCTAATTAATACGTTAACAAGAAGTTGATTATTTTTACAATATGCACTCGAAGACTAAATGATGTACGGTAAAAGAGGTAAAGTAGTAAAAAAGCATATAATAGGTAGATAAACAATTTGCGACTCCATTAAGTGTTTTTCTTTTTTCTATGTCTCTCTGTCCTTCTGTAAACCTATTTTTTCGAAAAAAAAGTTTTATGAAAAAATATCAATTATAGTTATTTGTACGCAAATCAGGAAAAATAATTATTAAAGTCACTCCCACTTTTATACTCACAAACCGAACAGCCACCGCTTTCATGATTCTAGTAAGAAATACGCAGTGAACGGCGTTTTCAAAAACTTAACACGCCCACTTTTACGTCTATATGGGCATCGAGATATTGGCACCAATAAGAGAAGCTAGAATATTAAAACAGAACATGCAGCAATACGTTTTCAACCCATTAAGAATTTTTATTTGAGTATCTGGTATCTGATAGTTCCATCTTTTATCAATTGACAACGACTTTCCAAGATTAAATTTTACTATACATTACTACTTATACTAACGACTTTCTCAAAGGTTTTTTTTGGTGCCGGTCAAAGCTTAGCGTTGAACGCAACCTGCACAGAAAAAGCTTTCAAGCGTCGCTTGCTTTTGTTTGTTTTGTTTTATTTCAGACTGGAGAATTCAAGCACTGCATGAGCGATCGGCGACTTGAGAAATCAGTTGGCAGCGAGCTTTCAAGCGGACAACAGGTGATCGCGAGCGTTTCGCAGCAAAGGGGAAAATCGCATAGAAACCGGAGCGGGTAAAGTCGCTCCAAAAACGCGCACTTCGTCTTGGGCAATTCGCGGTGCTTTTGGTGCTGCTGCAATCGCGAGTGAGAGAGCAATATCCACACCGGGAGTGCGAAAGAGAAAGAGCAAAGCGGCTGCCCACGGCAATAAAGTTCGACTTGGTTTTTGTTTTAATATGTGATGCCAATACACAATTCGGCAATCGAGAAAACGTGTTTACACTTAATTTGCTAACGCGATTCAAAGAAAAGTAACAAAAAAAATGCGCCTCCAGGCAGCGGATATGGGAGCTATTCCAGTGCTGATCTTAGTCACCGCTTGTTTATTCCAACAAACATCGGCCCAGGGGTTAGTATAACGCACACCTCATCTACAGGTGACACAATGAATAAGCTAACGAAAAATGGAATCATATTTAAGTGTCGCCAAATGACATCACGTCCCTCCACTCCAGATTTAGCCAGAATAACAAATGACTTAGACGAGGAACTCAGAAGATTTGTGCAAAATCTGGGAACATGCCGCCAAGCAGACCTGTAATTAACAACATGTAATCAAGAAATTAGCCCTGGGTTTTATTACTGTCATAATAAGCTGACAAGAGCGAAACAAGTCGGGAGATGAAATAACCCGAAGCCAACGCGATTTTTGGAGGCGAATTTCAAACTGCCTACGCGTATTCAACTCGTTAGGGTGATGCAAGGTGGGAAGATGCTAAAAAGGAGATGCATTCCGTTATGAAAGATTAAAGACAAATGTTGCAAAATGTTTACATAAATATATTTTCCTATATAGAAAATTAATAGAAAATATTTGTATACTAGTACAATATTTTATTATTTTATTATTTTATTTTTTTATTATTTTAGTACAATTTGTTTCCTAGTTTTGTTTATAAAAACCTGTAAAGCCATAAAAAGCTAAGTCAAATGTATGATTTTTTAAGAAAAGGAGTTGCATACATTTTCTCAACTTTATGTTAAGATGAACAATCCCAAACATATCAATATCATCTTAAACGGTCATTATCTTACCCGCTTGATTAACCCTGATGCTTTAGGTGACACATAAACATGGATTGCTACTTGTGTACTCATTTCCGATTGCTCACCTTGAAAGCTGACCAGTCGAGGCGATCTTATAATCAGTTTGCGAATTTATTCAGCTATATATGTAGAGGTGCACTAAGAACTGTGATTGATCGAGCAATGGCAAATCCACTGGAGGCGTCTACTTCTGGTGCTTTCCACTTCTTTCTTCTGGTTTTATGATCTGTCATTGAGTTGGCTCGAGTTCAATCTGCTACCATATATGGGGCACTCATTCAAGGCGCTATTACGCAGCTCATGTGGGTGAATTTCAACCAATTGAACCCGGATCAGATTGGAGTAGATGGACTATGAAATTCATCTGGCTACATTCGTTCAACACCCCATCGCAGAATCAATCAGGTGGAACATCGCCACTGCAACTGGAAACTTGAAGCCTGCACTTTGCGGCCAATTTGAGCAAAAGCGAAATTGTTTTTACCATTTACCTGTTGGCTGGAAACCGTTTTGCGAGAGCGGCCACCATGGGGCGAACCTGTTTTTTTAGGCTAACAAACGTGACATAAACACAAAAGAAAATTTTTGGTGGGAACAGGTTAGACTTGCCAAACCAATTGAAATTAGAACAGGCGGCAAACTGTGCAGTACGCCAAAAGGTGGCACAGTTAGCAGGCAGTCCATAAGTTAAGTCTTTTGACAACTAAATGAATTGCTTGAAACTTACGACCAAAGCAGCCGTTTGTAATAAGCGCCATAAAAGTGTAAAATATTAAAAATACCCTTTTAAACTAACTGGTTTGAACAATGCTTTTCTTTTGAGGAAGCTATTTGTTAGGATTTTCAAAACAAAAGTAAAGGTTTTTCAAACATTAGCATAAGGCAAATACAATACAAAAATACAAATACACAATTTAAAATATTTTTCTTGACCCCTTTGACATACTTTAAATTCTGTACTATTTTGGCTTGAAATATTCACTGTTGATTTTATAACATCTTCAGTAGAAATCTTGAAATAGAAATACCAAAACAAAAAGCATTTGATTCACAGCTGCAATTGTTTGGATGGTTTGAATTAAAAAAGCTCTTGACTTCTGCAGTACGATGAAGAGGCAAAAGAAAACCACACAAAAATAGTTATAGCTCGAGCCACTCTGCCGCACTTCCCACAATTTCGACCCCGAACCCCGACCCCCAACTACAAACCACCTTTAACCATTTCCTACCAAAATACAAATACCACACCGCAGCGATTGATGCTGACCCGGCCGGAGAGTTAAAGTACAATACCCCTTTCGGGCTGGGGCTTTGTCTTCCGTTAGACGCGTGAATGAATAGCGAAGAAAAGATTCAGATAGCATAACAGCATAGGTGTAATCCACTTATCTGCGAACATTAAATCTGTAGCTTTTTTGTTTACTTTTGTGCGGCAGCCGTCGGATGAGTAAATAAAAAAAAAGCTGACTCCAAAAACACAAATCTAGCGGAAGCTTAAAAGACTTGGTAGTAATAAAAGATCCAAAGATACAATTTTAAATTATTCTCCTAATTTTTCCTATAAATATATTTATAACAAATATCTGTTGAATAGTATTGCATTTGAAATAAGATTTTATTGCTTAAAAACATTTCAGACTTTACTCCATAATTGCTCCAAATACATTGCGTCCTAATTCGCAATTCCATGTGGCTGTGAGCTTGCATAATGCACCAGAGTCAGCCACTTTCAAAGTGGGAATCCTGGGAAGTTCCTACACGGACTTCAAGACCGTGGAGCTGCGACCCTTTTCCACACAACTTCTGCACTTTGAGGTAGGTGGGAAACACTTCCTTATTGGAAAGGGAACAGCTTTTAACCATGATTCAAAAACAGATTCCAGCCCTTAAAACCGACAGATATCGTCTCACTGCTGAAGGTTTAGGTGGAGTTCAGTTCACCAATGAGACTCAGCTGCACTTCGAGGCCAAACAGCATACGGTGTTGGTCCAAACGGATAAGAGTATCTACAAGCCAGGCGATCTGGTTCACTATCGTGTGCTTATTTTGGATGCCAATCTAAAACCAGCTCGGGGCTATGGACGTGTGCATGTGGACATCAAGGATTCGGGTGATAATATTATACGGAGCTATAAGGATATTCGCTTGACCAACTCGATTTACTCGAACGAACTTCGATTGTCGGATTACCCACGTTTTGGCACCTGGTCCATTGTTGTCGAGGTTTCCGAACAAACTCATACGCAGACTTTCGAGATCCTCGATCATATTCTGCCCAAATTCGTGGTGGATATTGATACACCCAAACACGCTATTTATAAAGACGGAAAAATAGCAGCCACTGTCAGGGCGCAGTAAGTGCTCAACTTCCTAGTTAAATATTTTAAATAATTAAATAATTTACTCTACAAATCTAGCTATGCCTTTGGCCAGCCAATTGTGGGTGAGGCCACCTTATCCATTTACCCGACTTTCTTTGGCTCCCTTCAACCTTTTGTAAATGATCTCATCACCCGAAAAGTGGTGCCCATCGATGGCAATGCCTACTTTGAGTTCGATATAGAGAACGAGCTCCACCTCAAGCAGGATTATGAGAGACAGTATCTTTTGGATGCTTTGGTGGAGGAGAAGTCCACTGGTTCGGTGCAAAACTACTCAACAGTCTTGACCCTGCACTTGAATCACTATCGTGTGGAAACTGTCAAGGTGCCAAGCTATTATATTCCTGGAGTACCCTTTGAAGCCACTGTAAGTAATTTAAACTATCAAAAATTACTTAAATAAATTTCTAATTAAATTTTTAAGGCCCGCATAGCTCGCAATGATGGCAATCAACTGAGAGACTTTAATCCACAAATCACCGCATATTTGACGAATGTTTACGGCAGCAGTGAGATTTATAATCGCACTGACTACAGTTTGGATGCCAGTGGTGAGATAAAGATGAAGTTCACAGTTCCCATCGGAGATCAGGATGAGTTCCATTCCATTATTGTCGACTACCAGGGAGTGATAAGTGAAGTGGGAAAGATTCCGAGAAAGCATTTGCACAGCAAAAACTACATCACAGCCAAGGTGCTGAATGACAGGTGACTGAAAATAACAAACTAAGTTTAAATGGATTTCTAAAAGTTTTACATATTTTAAGACCCACTGTAAACCAGGAAATTTCTGTGGTAGTGCGCTCTTTTGAGCCCATCAAATATTTTATGTATCAAGTTGTCGGACGTGGCGATATTATTCTTTCCCGCAATGTGGATGTACGTTACACAAGGTTATATCTTTTGCAGAATATTTCAATTGCTTATGTTATCTAATTTAGGTGGCTGATGGCACTTTCCACACCATCAAATTCCTAGCCTCATTTGCCATGATGCCGAGGGCCAAGTTGCTCGTATATACGGTAGTAAACGGAGAGTTTGTTTACGACGAGCAGGTCATACAGTTCGAAGAAAATCTTCTTAATGCGGTAAGTATTATATCTCTTTCATTACTTCTCAGCTTAATTGGCAATTCATTTTTAAAGGTACAAGTTGAGGCTCCAATTAGAGCTCCACCAGGCCAGGATATTGACATAGGCATCAGCACCAAACCCTATTCCTATGTGGGTCTTATGCTAGTGGATCAAAATGCAAATAACTTGAGAAGCGGTCATGATTTGACCCACAAGAGATTGATGGATGCTCTGCGTTCATACGAACTGAGCGATGTGAACACCCCAACGGGATCTCCTGGCAAGGAATCCGGAGTGATAACCATGTCGAATACGGATTACTTTGTCGAAAAGGAAGCGGAAAGCAGTCCTGCTTTGGGAAGAGAGGCTTCCACTGGTCCCGAGGAAGATAAACTGACAACTGTGCGAAAAACAGACATTGGACCCGCCCACAAGATCGAGGTTAACACCCTGCCTCCCGGCAAAGGACGATATGCCTTCTCCTACACTCCGAAACCATTCTGGCACAATCCAAGGGTTCATGTGATGCGTGATCCTTCGGACACGTGGCTCTTCCTGAACATCTCAGCCAGCAGCGATGGGAGGAACTCCATCCACCGAAGGATTCCCAGTGAGATGACCTCCTGGGTGGTTTCCGCCTTTGCTCTGGATCCGGTGAATGGATTGGGCTTGTCGCAGCCAAATGGCAAATTGGAGGCCTACAAGGAGTTCTACATTACCACCGAGCTGCCCTATTCCATTAAAAGGGGTAAATTATTTGTTAATTAAAGGGAAACAGAATATTAATCTTAGTTACTTCATTTAGACGAACTCATTGCCATTCCGTTTGTGGTGCACAACAACAGGGACAGGGATCTCAATGTTGAGGTCACCTTTTTCAACTCAGCCCAGGAATTCGATTTCCCACAGCTAGATCCCAAGGCCACCAGCAAGCCAAGTGAGTTTCCATTCTTAATTTCATTTCATTGATAAATCCTTAACTGTATCTTTTATTTCTTTTCGTAGAAGAGGAACTCACTAGCCGCAGATCCTTGCAGGTGCCCGGAAAATCCTCCCGATCGGTGTCCTTTATCGTGACCCCCAAGCGAGTGGGTTCCCTATTGGTCAAGGCAATGGCTACCTCCTCCCAAGCTGGCGATACGGTGGAGCAAACCCTACTTGTGGAACATCCTGGAGCCACAGAGCGGATTAACCGAGGATTCCTCTTCGAGCTGAACTCAAATGCCCAAAATAGGAGAAACGTTTCCATTGCGGTTCCACGAAATGCAATTCCCGAATCCACTCGCATCGAAGTCTCAGCGGTTGGCGATCTGATTGGTAGCGTAGTGGGTAACCTGGACAACCTTATCCTTCTGCCAACTGGCTGTGGTGAACAGACCATGGTCAACTTTGTGCCCAACCTGATGGTTCTTCGATATTTGGGGGTAAGTTTTCATCGCTAAAGATTAAACTGAAATTCTAATGTTTTTAATTTATCTTTTTCAGCGCCTTCAAAAATTGACTCCCGAAGTGGAGCTGGCTGCCACAAACAATCTGGCAGTGGGATACCAAAGAATCCTGTATTATCGTCATGGGAATGGTGCCTTCAGTGCCTTTGGCTTGGATGCCAAGAGGAGTTCCACCTGGCTGACGGGTTATGTGGCGCGATCCCTGCGACAGGCGGCTTCCTTCACCCAAGTGGACAGCAATGTCCTCCAGACTGCTCTGACCTATCTGGGAAGTGTTCAGTCCGCAAATGGTGGATTCGAGGAGCGTGGCGATGTCTTCGAGAGATTCGGCGACGATGGCATCAGTCTAACTGCCTTTGTGACCCTGGCTCTTATGGAAAATGTGGTAAGTGGCTTTGAACTCTACACGAAAAGTTCCGAGCTTGGTTAAATATATAAAAGCTAATTAAAGCTAAATTAATTAAAACTTGTTACAAACCATGCTCATTTATGAACCCATTAATCAATAATCTCATAAGCTGTGAACGTAGGTCAACAGATTGATTGATTAATAATATTGCCTAGGATCTCTACCCGGAATATCGGAACAACATCAACAAAGCGCTGGACTTTATCACGAGGGGCTTGGATGGATCGAACAATCTGCATGCCATGGCTTTGGGAACTTATGTGCTTTCCCGTGCCAATCACAATGCCAAGGCAGCTTTTCTTCAACGCTTGGACTCCATGGCTATTAACAAGGGTAAGCTGGTTTATATATATTTAAATAAACAATCAAGTAATCAATTTCCCCTCCGTTAGATGGTCGCAAGTGGTGGAACAAGACAGCTCCCGCCGGTGAACAGCAGTCTCCGTGGTACAATGCCACTCGCAGTGTCAACATCGAGATCTCCGCCTATGCCGCCTTGGCTCTTCTGGAAAATAATTTGGTGGGAGATGCTTTGCCAGTGCTGAACTGGCTGATGGATCAGCGGAATCCCAATGGCGGATTTGTGGCATCTCAGGATACGGTGGTGGGGCTCCAGGCACTTCTGGTTTTCGCCGAACGCTTTTCCAGTCAGGGCAACAATCTCCAAATCGGCTTCCATTACGGAGAAGGTGCCGAAACCATAATTAATGTGAATGCTCAAAACTCACTGGCCCTGCAAACTGTGGAGGTAAACTAAGAGATAGTTGTGTTTTATAATTCATATAATTAATATTTAATTGGTGTTTATATTTAAGCTTCCCAACAACCTGAAAAACCTGAGTGTTTCGGCAACTGGCAGAGGAATGGCTTTGGCCCAAGTGAGCTACACATACAATACGAATGTGACCAGTGCCTGGCCTCGATTCGTACTCGATCCCACTGTGAATCGGAACTCCCATGCGGACTACCTCCATCTCTCGGCTTGTGCAAGTTTTGTTTCCGTTGCCGGCGAGGAAGAGCAGCGATCGAATATGGCCGTAATGGAGGTGCAACTGCCCAGTGGCTTCGTTGTCGACAGGGATACTTTGCCCACTTTGGAGTCAAGTGAGCGGATCAAGAAGGTGGAGACCCAGAACAGGAACACCAAGGTGGTCATCTACTTCGACTACCTGGACAGAAGGGAGGTCTGCCCCACCCTGCACGCCTACAAAACTGTGAAGGTCACCAAACATCGACCCGTGGCGGTGGTCATGTACGACTACTACGATAGCGGTGGGTTTAGAAATTAACCAACTAAATTTAATCATAACATACTCCAAAATAAATTAATGTTTTCCAGCTCGTCGTGCCAGGCAGTTTTACAGGGCTCCCAAGTCCAACATCTGCGACATTTGCGAGCATGCCAATTGTGGTGACCTTTGTGAAAAGGCCGAGAAACGCGAGTCGAAGCGACCCGATGACTACACGGCAATAGCGGGTCATAGTTCAAGCTCGGACCTTGGAACTATTCCCGTTTTATCATTGATGACGACTCTATTGGTTCTTTTGAAGACTCTCTGCTGTTAGACGATATTGTTATTGCCACTTAAGGTGGAACCAACAAGGAAATCGAAGCTTTAACAAACCCACTCACATAGTTTGTAAGTTAGCCTAATGAATGCCGTGAACTAAACCTAATCTAAGTACATCTAACGATGCTAAAGTGTTGCCAATAAAGTGTTATAACGTTTACTAAAACCTACAGAAAATGGGTGTCAGTTGATTGATTTAAAGAAGTTCGGTAAGTTATCGAGTATATATTTTAAATACCTTATACTTTAATTTGCAATTATTAACCGATATTATTAGCATAGTGCATGCAATCCGACATGCAAATATCACTCATACGCAGTGTAATTCTAGAATATAGCAATATAATGTTCTGCTTATGTCAAGCAATCGTTCACACTCCCACTTTTTGACAGCATTGAAAATAGAGTGTAAAAATAGAACGCTTAATACTCAATACACATTTGGCCTTCCTACAGCATGGTAAATTCGAAGTGCAACCTTGAGTGACAATGGCCAATAAAGCGCAGCCAACGGGGACCGAGCGAAAGGAAAAGCGCATCGAGCGGGACGAGAATCGTGGCCAATGGAAGTCCAAGTCGGAGTTCATCCTTTCGCTAATGGGCTATGCCATCGGAATTGGCAACGTCTGGCGATTTCCCTATCTCTGCTATCGAAGCGGCGGCGGTAAGTCTCCCATCTTCTCTAGCAGATCCACCCATTAACAATTGAACCACCCACACAAATCGATGAGTTTCGCTCAAGCTCATTTTGCTCCGAAAATAGCAGGCCAGTGACGTCAGAGAAAGAGGGGGCTGCAATGGTTGCGAATGTGGCGCTGTGGCGCTGCGGCTATTTTTAGGCCATAGCTTTCGAGTGAAAGCTGGCAAAGCTCCAGCGCTTATGATGGCCATGTGGCCAGGCGACCGGCGACGCCTTCGATAGCTCAGTTGGTAGAGCGGTGGACTGTAGAGTTTCCGAGGCTTGGTGATGCGAGCGAAGGCAGGACTCTGGGCTAACCACTACCATGGCCCAGAAAGCGCCCCGGTCTTGTATCATCAGTTCGCGATATGTTGAAATCCATAGGTCGCTGGTTCAAATCCGGCTCGAAGGATAATTCTTTTTGGGATTAGGACTTTTTTTATCTGCTTGGGAATATGGGGATAGTAAATAGATACTTTCTTGGTAATTCGATAACCAAAATAGCTAAAACAGAAAGTATTAATTTTTTAAGTATTAGGAGAAGTTTATAAACATGTTCTGTATTTAAAATATTTTTCATTGTAATATTTTCTTGATTTTTATTTTATTATCCTCTTTCTAGCCGCCTTTCTCATCCCCTACATGCTCATGGTATTTTTAGCCGGCATTCCACTCTTTTACATGGAGGTCCTGATCGGCCAGTTCTCAGGCACAGGATGCACGGGCATGTTTCGCCTGGTACCTTTACTGAAGGGAACCGGTTTCGCCCAGGTGGTGGTGAACGCCTACTGCCTGTGCTACTACTCGGTGATCATATCGTATCCCATTCGGATGATTTCGTATTGTTTCTTCAAGAAAGTTCCCTGGGAGGACTGCGAGAATTCCTGGAACACAGACAATTGCGTTGCCGGTGATGACGTAAGCTAGTCGACCAACTATTTGAAAAGCAGTGAGTTCATTTTGATTCCTTAGTTGGAGAGCACTAATCGCACAGACGATTTTTCAACTGCCGCCGATGAGTTTTTCCAGTAAGTTACAAAAAAATAAATTATTTAAATATCTTGCATACTTACATAAGTATTCTTAAATTTGGAACAACAGATAAACAAAATTACGAAGCGATTACCTACAAGAATTATATTCAATTAAAACTAATGTATTAGGATTTAAATTGGTTTAATTTATTTTAAATTGATGGTATTATTTAATATTGAACTCTTGCAGCAAGGAAGTGTTGAGGCTCTCATCATCAATCTCGGATCTGGGAGGCATGGTGTGGGAGCAATTTCTTAGCTTAACGATCACCTGGATAATTATTTACCTGTGCCTGATGCGCGGAATCAAATCGGTAAGTCGTGTTTTTCACGTCGGGGAATATTTACCATTTTTACACTATCGATTTCAGGTGGGCAAGGTGGTGTACTTCACGGTTCCCTTCCCGTACCTCCTGCTGGCCATCCTGTTCGTCAGAGGGGTCACGTTACCAGGCGCCTGGACCGGCATCAAGTTCTACCTGTACCCCGAGTGGCACCGCCTGCTGGACCTCAAAGTCTGGGCCGATGCCGCCATCCAGATGTTCTTTGGAATCGGACCCGGCTGGGGTGGCCTCGTCAACATGGCCAGTTTCAACAACTTTCGGAACAATGCCAAGTGCGACTCGATTCTGGTTGTGTCGGTGAACGTGTTCACCAGCATATTTGCGGGCTTTGTGGTCTTCTCCGTGCTGGGTTTTCTATCAGGTGAAGAGGCATTTATGCCATGTAAATTAATATGTTGAGGTCTCCTAAGGCTCTTCTATCGAAAGACAGGACGGGCGTTCCGGTGGAGTCGGTGGCCACCGGTGGAGCGGGACTGGCCTTCGTCACCTATCCAGAAGCCATTGCCATGCTGCCCATTCCGCAGCTCTGGGCTCTGATGTTCTTCTTAATGCTCTTCCTGCTAGGCATCGACACTGTGGTTAGATATTCAGGATCAATACAAATTTGCAGCAATACAAGCGCATAACATCTATCTAAATCCGCAGTTTGTGCAACTGGAGGCCGTCATGTCATCCATTTTGGATGAAGTCTCTTGGCTCAGGAATCACAAACGGAAAACGACCCTCTTTTTTCCATCTTTTTTTCGGTCTGTCCAGTATAATGTGCACAAATGTGAGTACCAAACGAATGGAAAATCAACATAATCTTTAAACTTTCTTGTTTAATCTGCTATCTCAAACTCCAGGGCGGCATGTACATCCTCCAGCTTTTCGACTGGTACTCCTCAGCCATAGCCGTTATTGTCATTTGTCTGGTGGAGTTAATTATGGTCTCGTGGATTTATGGGATTAAGAACTTTATGCTAGATGTTGAGTTTATGCTGGGAAAGCCGCCAAGTCTGTATTGGAGGATCCTGTGGCAGTTCATTACACCCGTAGTCCTTATAGTAAGTAGCTTACTTATTATTTATTTATTCAGTTTGATCGTAAAACATTTTCCCTGCTCATTCCCAGTTCATTCTCATTATGAGCATAGTTTTTATGAGACCAATCACCTATAACAACGTATCGTACCCAATGTGGGCCATTATCGTCGGCTGGGTCAGTTTTGTGTCATCTGTGATGTGGATTCCCCTCTACATATTCTATATAATGATCCGCAAACGGGCCACATTGCGCGATAGTCTAAAGAAGCGCCTCAGTCCCCTCGATTGGACTCCTGCTGACCCCCAGGATCGAGCAGACTACGAGGCTTTTCGCAAGCAGAGAGGAATGCCAGGTTTCATGTCCGAAACAGACGTTGAGAATACTAAATAGATTTTATATATACATGCAAAATATATTTGTATATTTTATATTACAAACATATTTATATTCCAATACGATTGCACCTAGTTGACTTCCTCCGTCACCTCGAACAGCTGGTGGGTGATCTCCGTGTTGCCGACGGCTTCCTCGTACTTTTGGCGGTGCTCCATCTCAACTGGATACCAATCGGTGGGTCGACAGGTGCGCTTGAAGCGCTCGCAAAAGGTGCCCGTGCTCTGGTAAAGATAGTAGAATCCATAGCCAGGTATGAACAGAATTGGTAGCCCCACCAGAATAATGGACACCACGAGCACCACCATTGATGAGTAGGAGTGCTCCATTACTGCCAAGCCAATTCCAGACAGCTAAGTATGAATAAAAGTGTTGTTTTAAAGCTTTTAATATACAAAAGAGCAGAACAAACCAGACAAATCACTAAAATGATCGGAGCTATGAAGCGGAGTATGAAAATCTTCCACGAGGCAAAGGGCTGGCCCAGCATAAATTCAATATCCCTTTGGAATCTTTCTCGGCCGTAGATCCACAAAACCACCAATAGCAGCAACAAGTGGAGCAGACTGTGTGAGAAAATGGCGTCCATGGCGATGGCAGAAAAGAATACAATTCCGTGCTAGGAATTAAATACAGAACATCATATTAACCTCTTTGATTTAACTATAAACTCATAACTTACGTTGGTGCAAAAGAAAAAAGAACAGATCGCCAGCCCACCAATAAGACCAAAAGTAACCTCCTGTTTCTTTTTTCTTAGTGCTTCGAACTCATCAAACAATGTTTGCAAAACAGTGAAAATCTGCGTCGTCTGCAAAAAAAGAAACATATTTGAATAACGTAAGCAAATAACCAATTCTAAATCCAAGTATACTGACCATCACAATAATTCCAGCCATCAAAAGCATTGTATAGTATATTAAAGTCCACATGTTCGCCCACTCCAATGAGGACAAGGCACTGGCACTGGACAGGAACAACAGCCAATGAGTCAGAACATGTGAGTCAAAGGATGCATTAACAACCTCTAAAATGCACAAAATTATGCAAGTGTCATAGGCAAAATATTCGGTTACCATTGAAGTAGTTCTCCAGGATGAAGCATGTCAAGCCAAGCGTAATGTAAATTAGGATCTGCCCGAAGGAAATAATCCAACTAAACGTCATGATATTTGTCTTGAATCCGTTAAAACTGGACAGGGCAATAACACTGCCCCAGCCAGCTCCAAAAGCGTGTAGGACCATAATAAAAGTCGAGCCAAATCCCATTATAACATCCTCAAGCTTTGGGGTTACAAATCTCCTCAGCCCCATTAGGGCTCCTGGAAGAAACAAAAAACGCGCCAAACACACGAGGAGAAGCCCTAATGTTCCAATAACCATGTAGCGTATAAACTTTCCAAACTTTGCCGTCTCTGAAAACTTATAAAATACACCGGCTACAATTCCCCAAACCAGTACAAAGAGAGCTATAAAATGCCAGGATAGCTCGTAGTCCTCAGATAAATCCGGAAAATGGTCTTTTTGAAAGGATTTAAATTGGTTTCTATAAAATAAAACAAAAATTAAATAAAAATTTAAATTAATCTTTCAGATCTTTTTAAATTAAAACAATTAGGAACGCTCTGCCAGTATAAAGATATCGCGGTTTGTAAGCGGTAAAGTAGGCGTGGCAAATTCTTGCAATAAACTTGCGCCAAGTACAAGTCGCAGAAATCTACACTTTTATTGTCTATTAAAGTGTACAAGTGAACAATAATATATGGCAACCATTTTATAAAAAAGTTGGAAGAAATAACTTTTCACTTACTGAAAAAAAAGAACCGAAGGAACATGATACAACTTTGTATAATAACTGGTTTCGTTGTCGCTTTCAGAGAACTCGTCCTCTATTGTCACATTACAAGTCTAGAATATAAACACAACTATTATTCCTATGGGTACCAAACACTTTTACCAATTTCATACAGTGTGTGATCTGTGATCCCCAGTCTCATTGAACCAAGATTTAAGACCCTCGCAACTCCATGGCAAAGTGGGCCGAAAAGAGTGGAACATGAAGAAAAGCGGAACGGCAGTAAAAATACTATAGTAAATGAGCATTGAGATGGTCAGGAAAAAGCTCACATAACCCATGCCTGAAATATAATCCTAATTTTAGAATTTATTCGGTATAACTTCAATTTGCTTACCTTTAAAGAAAGGAGTCAGACGAAAAGCAGAGATAAAGCCACTGCTGGAAAACTGGCCCATGAAGGAGTGTATGACCAAGATTGGAACCAAGTAGATTGCCATATATACAAAGTATGGAAGCATTCCAAAAACTGAAGTAGGCACAAAAATAAATTTAAATGTCTTAATAATTAAAGTCATATAAAATTTTAAGCCCAACAATTGGTTTACGCACGTATGATATTATTAAAAAATTCGATATTGTGACCTCTCAAATAGTAAAATATGCATAAAGTAGTATTATATATTGTATAGTGACTGAATGAATGGGAAAAAAAAACATATAATAAAAACGACGCTCGAACTTACACATCATTATACTAATTGTATTTAAATTAAATATAAAAATTAATTCTTTCTTTTTTGATAGTCTTTTAATGCGTTGTTAAAAAAGTGTATACGAATTTATGAGTCCAATACACCCTAATCGCTGATAAGGGAATTCATATTTATATACAGAGATATACGCAGAATGTGCGATGTGTCTAGGTAGCAATGCAACGCCCCTAAAAAGATTAGGCTAACCTTCGATTCAATCTCCACCTAAAATATAGCTACAGCATTCAAATTGTAACTTACGGCCCATATCAAAGAAGAACCAATACGAGGCAACAAATACGTCAAGCTTTAGTGCTAATCCAAAACAGGCAAAGATATAATCCGTGGGCTTTTCCCATTTTCCTCGATCCATATCTGGAGTAAAGGGCTTGAGCCCGGTGCCATATGATGTTTCATATACCATCGCGCTATTATATGAAAACGTGATCCGATTTTATTAGATTTTCTAGTGTACGGACGATCCGCTTTTTTTCTACTTTAAATTGACGGACTAATTAGTCGAACCGTTGCCGGCAAACTAAATCCAAATCGGACAGCTGGTCGCTGTATAGCTCATCTCGTTGGACGATGGTTATCATTCTCTATGTAAGGCAATTCTTATTTGTACTTTCAACAAGTCTTGCATCGAAAAATAATTTTATAAAAATGATTTGCATCTTTCTTAAACAGGTATCAATATATAATTGTATCTACAGAGATTTTATAAAAAAAATGTAATATTGGTAAATACATAAGGTTACCTCTAAACGTCTTCAAACTATTCTAATTATTGCCAAATGTATTTTGTTTGTTTCCTATTGCAAAAAGACGTCTAATTTCTTGCAACATAATCATTATACCTAAATGATTTTTTTTTTTCGCTTAACAATGAAGATTATTAACTAAGTTACAAATTTTAAATCTAAAAATAATCCATTCAATAAGTAATATTAATAAAACTCGTAAAAAAAATTAATCTCTAAAAATGTGTTTAAGTGTTGTTTTAGCGAATAATAATTAAAAATATAAATAAACATAGAACAACAAATTCGGTTAGTGTACTTCCATTTGCGACCACAAAATGCCTATTTATTTAGATGCACATTATCAGAGCTCTCATATTTGTGACTGTCTCATGGGTTTTACTTATCATCGTACATTGCCAAGTTCGTTTCGATGCTGGAACTGGAAATTGATATTTTCGCGCTCGGAAAATGGGGAAACAAACAGCCGCAATGTCATCAACGCTAGGGGAAAACTCTATGAGTAAGCAAAATCAATTAAAACCATTTACGCTATTGCTGTTGATGAAAACATACACTGATAAGGCCTATCGCATCACTAGTGTCAGTGAGGCGTAAATTGAATATAAATTTAAATTTTTAATAATTGATAACCTCGTAAACATAATCATATGTATTTTAAAATATTTATAAATCTAAGTGCTCTTTCATTAGATCACTTTTGCTGCAAAGACAGCAAATACAAGTCTAAAAGTATGCAAAAAAAAGTGAGGTTTTGGCGAATATCGTAAAAATTACATTTAAGAATACCCCTTAGTAAATACCGTAAGGTAATAATAAGGTGCAAACTATTCCTGAGTTCCCATTTCCCAAGAAATAACGATAAAAGCTAAGTACATGACTAAAAGGTAAAACTTTATTAATTAGTAACAATATTTTTTGGCCAAAGCTTCTTGATCTTTTCAGTAGGCAACTACTAAATATCACCAGTTTATTTTTCACTATAGCTAGCATTTGGAAAATATCAGTACGACTCCATCAAAAACACCAACGGTACTCTTACGGCTTTTCTGTGTATGTGTTGGGGTGACTGTAAGTGTATGTGTGTGTGTGACCGCATATGGGTGTATAATAAAAGTGAGTTCAGTTCAGTTCATTTGTAATGTGGCGACGCCTGAAGCGTTTAGTTTTGATCTAAAGAGTATTCGATATTTAGGCACTATGTGGTATTGGCATTGGCATCGATCACCAGCATCTCAGAGATGCCCATGATTTCCTCGTAAAATCGTCGGTTATCCGCATCCATCGGATGCCAGTCGTGTGGAGCGAGGCACTGTTGCAACCGCTGGCGCCAATTGCCGTTCGTCCGACACACCTTATAGCCCATATACGATATGGCCGTCAGGAGTATCAAGCCCTGGCTCACGTAAATAAGGACTTCGTGGGTGTGATCACGCACAAGCAGATAGCTGAGTTGGAACTGAAATAAAAATGGCTCATGTGAGTACTATTCATATAAAATTAATTGCATAATAATGTTTAATTACTTAAACAACAATAAAAATATTCAGTGATTCTGTTAAAAACAAAAACGTCACATAATTTGAATTTCTGTTCTTTGTGGTTTAACCATTAAAAACACGTATAAGTATTTTCTAGATTGCTTAGTAATAATAATACAAATAAGGTTTTTTCCTATAAATTACAAATTTTTATGGGGCTTATAGACGCCCCGAGTCAACCCTTTACTTACCAAACACAATCCCAGAAAAATGGGCGTGACGAAGCGTATAAAACATATTTTAAAACTCGAGATCGTTTTGCCCAGCATAAACTGCAAGTCACACTGAAAACGAACACGACCATAAATCCAGGTCGTCATCAGCAGAAGTACACCCGAAATTAAGACTTGGGTAAACACCGCCAAATTGGGTAGCTGAGTCAGCTGACTAAAGCCCAACTAAATATAAATATGTAAAAAATAATTTATTTATTTAATAAACACGTTATTTTGTATACTCACCTGAGTACAAAAATAAACAGAGGACGCTGTGAGGCAGAGGACCAGAGAACAGATCACCAGAGTTCTTTTCGATCGCAACGCCTCGAACTCATCAAACAAGCCAGTAAGAACGGACATCATTTGGATGATCTTTTAATAGTAAAAGCCATTATATATACATTTTAACTTGGTTTGGAAATATAACTCACCAAAGCACATAACTCTGATAGGAATATCATGCCAAAGAACAGAAAGGCCCACAGATTTGGCGTCGTGGTAAATCGGCCAAACAAATAGGAGAAACAAAGGTACAGGAACTGCATATGGTGCTTCTCATCCACATGCAATGGTATCAAACCCACGTGATCTGTAAGATAGTTAAAACTGAAATATTTAATATGCATATCATCTAAATAAAACATACAACTTACCCTCAAAATTATCGTGGGCTATATTGCAGCAGAGAAGACCCATCAATCCGAACGTGATATGGGTTAGGCACACCCAGATGCTTAATTTCTCGGCATCGCTGCGAAAGTTGTTGTAACTGGACAAGGTGATGATACTTCCCCATCCGGGTCCTAAAGCGACTCCGGCCATCAAAAGGGCGGTGCGACATGTTGCCCAGAGGCTTTCGAAACTGTCCAGCTGTGGCATCCAATAATATTTCAGGGTATCAAAACTGACTTTTTCGTGAATGACCGAGTACGAAAATACTGCCAGAAAGAAGCCGAACATCAGCACGCAGAAGCATCGGAGGGCCTTACCAATCTAAAGTAATAAATAATGCTTCACTGATTTAAAAAGCCAACACATAATTATCAGAGGATTTAGGGCTTGTGAACATTTTAGCATCTAATGATTAGTGAATTAGTTTAAATGGGGAGCAAGGGAAATAAAGTAAAACTCTTTTAACTCACAAAAACAACTGACTTTAGCAGAATGGCCTGAACCACCAGCCAAATGGCTATAACGCCAACGAGCATGGACCAGGATATGCTTAAGGGACCAGAACCTTCTTCCGTAGAGGCAATCGTTGATCTAAATATAATAAATAAATTAACCTTATTGCAGGTTAAGTTCATTACACTGATAAACTACCTAAAGAACTCCACAGTGGAATGGGGATCTACAAAGTAGGCCTAGGAGCAAAAAATAATCATTAGTTAAAGAACACAAATATATATTACTTCACTCACTTCGACATCGTAATTATCGTGTAAGGAACATTCCTTGGTATTCCAAGTGTTGTTGCAACTCATCCAGGGTATAACCCCGTGCAGGGAGTTTACGGTATAGATAAGGGGCACCACAGCTCCAATGCTGTAATATGTGAGAGTTCCCAGATTAAGGAGCAGTATCGCGTAGCCGATGCCTAAAAGTATGTCGTAAAAATGTATATTACTTAAAAGAAACTGTTGCTGTTTAATGATCCCTTACCTTTGAATATGGGCGCCACCCGAAATGCTGAGATTGATCCAGAAGATGAGAACTGTCCCAGAAATGCTTGGATCAAAAATATTGGCAGCGAGTAGAAAAACATTCCCATAAGGTAGGTAATTATAAATAACACTGTGAGAATAGAATAAATAAACATCTGGTTACAAGAAGAAAGTTTATCATGACAAACTGAGGGATTTTGTTTATATTAAGATTAGCATCCAAATAGGTACTAAAATATTAAAAATCTGGGATTTATCAAAGAATTTTTTCTGCAAAGAATTTTTTTATAATATTTCTGAGTAATTGCAAGCCCTTTGAACCTTGAGTTCCCATAGTTATTATTAATCCATTGCACATTGTTACACACTATAGTTATTAGTCGTGCCGAGGTCTGCGTCACAGTTTAACTTATCTTAAAAATGAAAAACAATGCAATTATGTAATTAGCTAATACTCGGTCATCACCAGCAAACAAATGGGTTTCAAAACCAGTTTTGTAGATGATTAATCTCGGCTAATTACCGTTCTAAAATCTAAGAAAATTTCAGAAAGAGTTGTTTTAATTTTTGCGCTAATAACAACCTCCAATGTTCTTCTTATCTCTTGCAAATTGAAAATACTCTTCAAAGTTAACGCATAAGGCCACCATTAACGCAGCACCGATAACCTTTGCCTGAATTAATTGAATTATATTGATAAAGCCCCGTAAAACTAAGCTAGTAGTCGGAAGAAAAAAAATAACAATTAAAAAAATGTTATTATTCTAATATATTACTTTAAATTTGAACAGTGCTTTACAAAATATATTTATATTGTTTGTTTTATGTGTAAATTTTAATGAAACACATTCTAGTTTAATTGAATTTGGATACGCTTTTTGTCTACTCTAATCACTTTGGAATATTTGTGATTATTTTTATTCGTTTTCGTTTGCGCTGTTTAATCTTTTTAATTTAAAAGCACTTCCTTTTTGGTTTGAAACTATATTTAGGAATACTTACTCCAACCGCCGTGCAGAATTCCGAAGGTGGAGAGTTCTGAGAAGATCAGCGAACTGAAGGCGTGTGTGCAGCTGGCGAAGTAGAAGTCCGCCGATTTGGCCCAACGACCCCGCGACTTGTCATGTCTGTAGGGTCGCTCCAGGGTATCATAAGCACTGCCCGATCTGACGGCCATGCTGTGAACCTGCCGATTCCGGACTCGTCGTGCGGCAAAGGCCAAACTGCCGCCTCTTCTACTTCCGGACTCGACTTGTCCTCCTCCTTCCGCGAAATCTCCGAGTGGCTCGGCGCCATGTTCGCTATTTTCACAGTCGCCCAGGAGCATGCAATTGTTGAGCTGCTCACCGCAGATTCCCTTCATGGTGGCTCATCCAGTGGCCACCAGGTGAGAAGACCCAAACACCTGCGACTCTGAAGCCTCAGTTAAAATTGGCCTGTCTTGGTTCCGTTTCGTTTTGTTCCGCTTTTGTTTTGCTCGGTGTTTTTGGCACTTGACCTAGTTTTCAGCAGCAGTTTACTGGGTCATTTCACGAAAGAACAAGTGGTAGAAATCCGAGTCTAAGATTATGTTTTAATAGGCAATAACAGCTGCCGGAGGCGTCACCCCGCACTCGTAAACCTTATTCGAAATTAAACCCGATTTTGATTACTCCGGGCGCCAAGCAATCAGCTCCGATGCTCGGCGGCAAATGATGCTATTCGATGGGGATTGCCGTTCTCAAGCGACGCCAAATCAAGCGGAATTATAGGCACTGCCAACAACAAAGCGTCCAACAACTCACAAATTTAATTAAATATATATGTCTTTATACGTAGCTTTTTTCGAGCAATGCGTATGTGATTGCCAGTGAGTGTGCAATGATGTACAGTGGGTTTGCCCCACTCAAATAAAAAAATTTAAAAAAAAAAAAATTAATAGATTTATTATATTTAAAAATGCTGACAAATTTAACATTTTTATACAAAAATGAATATTTAATTATATATTATTTTAGTGATATACTTATTGATATTATAATAACAAGGCAATGTTTAAAAGACGAAATAGAACTATGAGTCTTAAGTTCATTATTAAAAAAAAAAAAAAGTTAATATATATATACATATATATCTAAATTGCTTGCGTTCCCAGACTTAATCGCTTTAGCTTGGCAAACCTGCCGATGGTTTCGACGTTTCTTTAAATGGCTCGTACCTATGCTATTATCAGTATAGCTAAACAAAGAAAATTCCGACCGAAGGGGAAATCAAAACAATTGGAAATTTATTTTTAAAAACAAAGCCATCGAGCAGAATCGAATCGCATCGAAACAAAACAAAGCGGGCGAGAACAAAGTGAACGGGGGCAATGGACAGCTGATTGTGTTTTTTTCCCACCTCCGCTTCTACTCTCTTTTCGCACTCTTCGCCGGTGGTCTACAGAGCGTATACTTGACATTGCCCATACGTATGAGTGGCCGAAATAAGCGCAGCTCTCTTGTTCTCTTTGACCCGAAAAATGTTTCAACAAGTAAAACGATAAAAAGCGGGAGGGCGGTGTAATTGGGTGTGCGAAAGTCAGCTGTTTTTTGTTTTGAACCGTGTGAGTTGTGTAATTCCACCGAACTTTGCCCTTTTTTTATACTTTTCTGCTTTTCCCAAGTGCTTACGCGTTTTGGAAGTCGATGACGTTGTTAAATTGGTGTGGCTCCATTTATGAGTAAATTAGCGAGTGCACCGAATGCGGCGAACGTGTCCAATTAGTCGAATCGAAATGTTTACAAACAAACACTCAAGTCTGCGCAATAAATTTGCGAAAAAATTTGAAATGACCAAAAAGAAAGCATACGCAAATATTTGCACAGTTAAAAATAATAGCCACGAAGGCCTCATTAAAAATACAAATATATATTAAACAATTTGTTTAACGTTATAATAATTAAAAAATTATCGTTACAATAAAACGATTTAAATTTATTAAAGATAAAACACCAACTTATTAACTAAACAATTATACTAAATTTCTTTTTCTAGAAAACAAACAATTAAATTAAGGCCCATTAGAATTTTATCTCTAAGTGTGCATAAATATTTCTGTTTGCTTGTGTGCGAAAGACGCAAAAAGTTGGCGTCTCAAGTGTTGGCCAAGTCTGTGGGCAGTACCTTTCCCTCCCAGCCGCTTTCCTCCCTTTTTTCCACGATTTTCCTCTCATCAATAAGACCATGCACATATAGATAACGATATTGGCGCCACATAAACTCAATTTCTACCGTTATCATCCACTGGTAATCTAAACTATCTGTTAGTCACATTTGCATGCACCTGCATACAGTGCACATTTCTATTTTGTTGCGGCGACACTATTTGCAATCACGCACGAATCTCCTGCAAGCCTGCACTTTGCAAAACGGTATTCCGTACCCGAATCTCGATCTGAACCCGAATCGGAACCTGCTGCAACTGCGACGCACGTTGTCGACGCGTCTGCCAGCGAACGACTGAAAACTGAAGAGTAAAAACACAGCCAGATAGTCGCCGAATGTCAGACGAATGCGAATGTTGCTGCTGTTTGCTGTTGCTGTTGCTATTGCTGTTGCTGTTGCTGTTATTACTGCAGATGTTGCTGCTGTCTCTTATCGCAGTTGCTGCTGTGTGCTGCTTTTACTCTTTGGGAGAAATGCAAAAGAGTGGCAAAAAAAAAGAGCGAGACTCAAGCATGAGTTCATTTCAAATGCTCTACAGGTAAAATGAATCAGAAATGGCTTAATAGCTAAAAGGGCTTTGAAAATAATGGTTTTTTTACAAATTACTTCATAACTAAAGTTTTTAAATATTGAAAGAAATCTTTAATTACAAAACAAATAAATTAAATCGCATTTTAAAAGCTTAACTAACAGAAATTAGATGTATGGTTTAAAGTCATGTTATAAACTGTGGGCTTTGACTTAAAAGCAATGGAAATTTATTGCTTACCACTTTAAACGTATTAATTGCACTCTTATTTCGAAGAACTAGTATCCTATAAAATTTAGAAAAAATTTCAAAAGTTAAATCAAAGCGAATCATTCAATTTTACATGTTGTAAAATTGCTTTTGATCATTAAGCACATTAAATAACTTACCCCTATGTCGGATCAATTTTCTAAATTACATACGTGGGCAAGCACAAGAGCACGGCAAATTCGTATTGACCCCGCGACTTCTGTGCGATTTTCTCTTTGCCGGTCAATTACCGACTATTGCCAAAACGAAGCCCAGTAGGAAATTTCTTGCCATTTTCGAGTTGGACTCCAAGTAAGGGGAGACTGTCGACACGATTGACGCTTGACTCTTGGCCGCCGGCGTACAATAAATCATTGCAGTCAGTCCAGTACAGCTGATTTAATCGCCAGATACTGCAGAGAAAACAATTGCTTATAATAAAAAAAAAAAAAAAATTTAATATAAAAAAAAATTAGAACATCTTAAAATGAAAAGTCCATTTAAAATCTAAACAATCTTTCTTTATACTTCTGTAAACACAATGATTGTTGTATTATAAATGTTTCCATCAATTATCTTCTTACAACAATTTTTTTTTGAATGAATAAAAATGGAAAGTATTTTTAAAAAGTTTTTCTCAGTGCCTTACAATAAGGTGTGGTGAGAAAAAGTTGAAGGAAGTTCGAGGGGACTGTTATTGATACACTGACGCATTTCATTGAACGGCCAAATGCGGCAACAAATGCCAAACAGTAAACATGAAAAACAAGCGCGAGACTTTGTAAACCGCAGTGGAAACTTGAAGTGAGAAAACTATAAAAGGGGGCGGCAAAGAAGGAGGAAAAAATCACGCAACTGTTGCATTCTGTTATAGTAAATAAAAAAAGGAACAAGTGTGACTGGCTGATTCGAAATGATTTGCGACCGCATTTTGCATTGAACGCAGTTGGAGACTTTGCGCATGCGCATGAACTTGACATTTGAGCCGTCGATTCAATTGCGTTGCTCTAAACACACATTATTATGGAGGAAGGGGGGTCTGTGACAATTGGAGGCAATGAATCAATCAAACACATTGGGAGGCGTAACAAAGCTGCGATAGTAGATTAGAAGCCAACGGACTTTGTATACAAATTGACTTTGGATATGGGGAACTTATCACTCACGGAATAATTTCAAGCGATCAGCTGTATAATTTGAACTCGTTTTAGTGCGATACAATTATGTTGTCAATTGAACTATTACCATTAGAAACAAGTTTTATCTGCCAAAGTCCATTACATCCATATTAATGGATTGTTATTATATATTTTCAATACAATGTATAAATAACGTATTCATTTCCTATTGGGTGTGTATGTTATTTTGCTGAACATACCACACAAATTAGATTTAAAAAATTGACTTATGTTTGTTATATATTGGGCAATACATATTAAACCTTCAGAGTCTGTGGTTCTTTTTCACATTGTTACACAAATTAAAAATGTTTAATTTTTAAAATTGGTAAATCAAAATTGCCCAGAAAAACAGGTAAACATTAAATTCAAGTACAATTTTACATTAAATATTTTTAAGATCATTTATTAAAGGGTTTCTTTAATGGATTCGGGTTCCCCACTTGGCATCATCGTTATTTGAAAAAAAAAAAAAACAAACCAAAGATTTATATTTTAGTTACATTTTCTTTATTGGCAGAATGGTCAAACGTTTCCTCCAGAATGAACTTGGCATTCCCTCGAAGGAAAGCTTGGAGTGGTTTTTCACAGGAATGCTTGGAAAATGTATGCTTGATAAATAGGTAAGCGAGAGAAAGAGGCAACCACAAAAGTGGCGGGGTGCTTAGGTCGAAAGGGAATTTAGATGGCTCAGTTTTTTGGGACAGGTGTGAAAGGATCCTGTTCAGGTGCTAGGTGCGAGTACCCTGTCTATATATGTCTATATATATACAATGTATTTACAAAACGGTGGTGAGGGGTCCCTTTTTTCAGATTCATGGGGTTTCCCATCGATGGCAGTTTCCATGGTAGAGGCGCTTGGGTCCGATCAGAAAAGGGATTCTATAGCTTTTATATAGTATCCTCCTTACAGGGTTCCGGGGGCGGGGGCGGCGTTGATGGAGGCCACCGACTGGATGTGTCCGGCCAGAGGAGCGGTGTGCACGGCTCCGCGGGTCTGGGCAGTGTAGACGCCCTCATGGGCAACCGGAGCCACTACGACGGCGGGAGCGGGAGCGGCAACCACGGCGGGGGCGGCGGCGGCATGGATGGCCACAGAGGGAACTGCTGGCGGCCAGGAAGCCACGTTCACGGCGGCGGGCCAGTGGGCGGCGGGAACGGCCCAGGGAGAGGCCACCACAGCGGGTCCGGATACGGCGGTGTAGGACAGACCATGTCCAGCCACCTGGGACAGCAGGGGGATCACGGAAGACTGCACGCCCATGGCGAGGGCCAGGGTGAAGACAATAGCGACGGCGAACTGTTGGGATAAGATTCAAAAATAATTAACAATATATATTAAAATGTAAAAACCATAAATATTAAAAAAATAAATGCCTTAAAAAATATACATGGAACTAATATTTAAACAGCATTTGTTGTAAAATCTTTTGTAAGGAAAGGTCTTTTAAAGTATTATTTAAAGTTTTTGATTACTATTCAAAATTATTTAAAATATAATTTTTAATACTCATTTTAGTTGATAATGATTATAAAAAAAACCTTATCACAAGAAAACCAATGGAACATATTTAACAGGAAAATTAAATATGTTACTTGATATTTTATTCCCTCTGCTTTTTGGCTTACTTGAGTCCTTGAAATAAGTTTTAAAATTTAAATTTACAAGAAGGATGTTCTTATAAATATTATTTATAAAGCCACCACCGTTTAACGTTTAATCCGTACAAGCTGTTTGTTTTGAAAATTATACTTATTTTCAATAAACAAAATCAGGATGAATCCTTGTTGATAACTCACTTTCATGGTGCTGATTGTGGGTTTGGGGTTGCGCTCTGTTTGAACTCTTGTTCTGAACTGATTTGTCAACTGTGCGGCCAGCCAGTTTTATACCCAGCTGCTGACCACATCAGCAATAGAAAACAGCTTCGTCGGAGGGTTCATGAAAGTGAGAGTTCACACACCATGACTCGGTGGACACCGCTGACACTGCCCGGCATGCATATGATCAGCGCTAATGACATGCCTCCGATCCGAATGGATCGAATCGGTTCTGATCGATCTATCGCCTGGGAGATCAAACGGCTTTGTTGAACGCCTTTAAAGCGTTAAAGTTAAAGAACTAGTTCGACTCCTACTTTGTCATAAAGCTATTGTACTGCTATTGTGCTGCAGAAAATTAAAGCAATTTTGACAAGCAAAACATAGCCCTAAAAGAAAAAGGTATTTTAAAGCTGAAAACGAAGTTATTTTTTGAGTACATATAATATAATAAAATCTTCATCAACTCCTAACAGAAATATTACTCTTTGCCTTTAAAAATACATCTTTTACTATTTGTTAAGCCAAAATTTTAATTTGAAAACTTGTTTATACATTTTTGTAACAATATAAGACATTTTCTCAGGTTTACAAATATATAGAAAATAAGTTAAAGAAATATATTTAAAAAGGGATTTTTTTCAATGTAAAAACAAATATTTTTAAATAAATAATTTATAACTAAATCCAATAATTCAAAAAAAATAAATTGAATAAATTTCAACAAATTCTTGTTAAGCAACTTTCGAATTATCGATTTTTAAATATGACATTAGTTATAGTTTGCCCATGAAATATAACAATAACTAACAGTCCACCCACAATGAACTAAATCATTAGCGAACCACCGAGCCCGCACCACTCACAACTTGCACCGCCCCAGAAATGCATTCTCGGTGAGTGTGTTTTCCATCTCCGTGGCCATGTGGGTCCAACTGCCAGAGTGAGTGGCCCAACCCACTTTTAAGCTGCAGTTCCGGTAAGTTGATTTTCACTCCATCACACCGCCACTTAAATTACTTAATTGTTGTTTTTTTTTGCCCGATTAGCATATCAGTGTGATTTACAACACGAATCCAATTATGGAGTGATCGGTATCCTGTATAAGGCCGGCTAATAATTGATTTATGAGTCTTAAGAGTTAATAATATGCCAGGAATTGCCTACTTAAGTAGTCGTTAAGGTAATAGTCAAATATATTTATGGGAAGTCTATCATAAACTATTTTATTTGTTTACGCAGAGTAAATTATAAATCATTTATACGATTTTCTACTTATATCTACAATTGCATATCAAACAAAGTTGAACTTACTTTCAGGTCTTTCAGGCCGGTTTCACAATGTTCTGAATTCTTATTTAACTTCATTGGAAAGGAATACATTTTAAATTAAAAATATTTGTAATAGGTCTTGTATGAATTTTCCATTTTTTTGATCGCATTGCTAATTACATTGCCATGGGTTCAATTTAAAACCCAGGAATACGAAATTAAACTATGCTAAAAGGCACTCTATCTGTATCTATGGTACAGGCTATTTCCCTAAATATTTCCACCTCCGATTACCTAATGGATTCGACGTTGCACAACCTTCACCTGGCTGAAATAAGCCGGGAGTGTGGGTGTCTATCGCCTGGAGCAGCCCACATAAATATATTGCAAGCCCATTAGGTGCAGCAATTAAATCCAAATTTACTGTAACTGCAGCCCAGCAAAGACAATTCAATTATGCCGAAAAGAGCGTACAAAAGGGGAAAACCTGTTTCCATGCCAATGTGGGTGAGATCGATCGGGTCTTTGCAAAAACTCTTAGCAGACACCAAAAAAGTTCAAGTTGAATTCTTGCGAGGCGATGATAATCTGTAATTAGCGGCTGCTATAATTTGATCTATCTGGCAATTATTTAGTTGTACCAGAAGCCCAGGTGCTGACTTAAACCGAAACTTGGTCTCTGTGCGATCTGTAATTAGCGCTAAGCGTTTGCATAATTAAGCATACGCCCTGTGCGCCCAATACGTGCATATGAGCCGGGTCTGTTCCAATTAACTCGATCTAATGACCAATGGCCCCCAACTTGACTACCGTTCAACGCTGCTCGATAATATTGCCAGCAAATTAGGACTGCCACTATAATAATACACACTTAAAGACAAAGACACATTTGATCTAGACATTCTTGGCAGATATGGAATCAATTAAACAGTTTGTGGACTTTTCAAGGTCGAACAGGTGCAAAAAAGACTGAAGGTTATAATTAACTAAATGTAACTTATGATTTAGTTGAATTTAATTAGAGCTTAAAAGTGCTTCAGCGCTTTGTCTTTGCAACAAAGAAAGAGTTTTAGTGCTGAACTTAAATAGGGAAAACAACAATTATAAAAAAACATTGATAAAAGCTTTAAGACTGTTGAATGCATTGATTTTGTAAACAGTGAAAGTGATTTTTAAATTGAAGAAGAAGAGTTTTCAAGAACAAGAATTTAGAATGGTTGATTGAATTATCTGAAAAGTTCGAACTAAGATCCCAAACTGTATTAAAAAATTCCTGTTCATTAATTACATAAGGAATTTAGTATTTTAAACTTATAAAAAAAGCTTTCAGATTTCAACTAAGGTTTATGATTGCTGTTTTAGCTTAGTATACCTTAGTCTCAGCAAGAAACTTCGGGCATTCTTCACAATTCCTTTAACACTTTAGTCATAAAAACACAACGGTTGATTCGTATAAAAAACGCTGATTGAGTTTATTTATAACGCTTTCGTCAATCTTTACATTGTTGCAGATTACTAGAATACAATGGGATATTTACAGGTTGACAGGGCATTCGATGTGCCCGACAGTGATAGATATAGACAGATATATAGTGATAGCGGTAGAGTAGAGTAGAGTGGAGGAAGACAGGATAGCAGATGGGAAGGCATTTGAAGAGTTCTCAAAAAATAAAATTAACATGCTGTCGTTTGTTGGTTTGTTGTAGTTGTTGTAATTGCTGTTGGACTTATATATTGCTGAGTGCGTTGGGAGAATGTCCAGAGGATATGGACATGGACCCAAGATCAGGATCGTGTTCGTATCGAAGGGGGACTAAGAGCGGTGTGCTTAACAATAGGTGTACAGAGAGAGATATGTGTTTGTCTATCCGGTTAGAGTCGTGGGGAGTCGCTGAAGCAGTTGGATATCAGTGATCAATAATCAGTAATCAGCAATCAGTGACACTGCCGTCCATCCGCTCCGTTTGGCATCGGTTGTTGAATAGTGGGGAAACTATCTGGGTGGCGAGGGATACTATCTCCCTCCCAACTTACAAAGTTCCCGGGGCGGGGGCCACGTTCACGGAGGTGGCGGAGTTGATGTGTCCGGCGAGGGGAGCGGTGTGGATGGCGCCACGGGTCTTGGCCACATAGACGCCCTCATGGCCATGGCCGGCAGCCAGACCGGGTCCCTGAGCCAGGTTAATTCCGGGAACGGCGGCTCCGTGCCATCCGGCACCGGTCAGACCCCAGGGAGCAGCGCTGGCGTGGACGGCAACGGCGGCAGGTGCGCCCCAGGGAGCACCGTTCCAGGCGCCGTTCCAGGCACCGTTCCAGGCACCATTCCAGGCTCCGTTCCACAGACCGGCTCCATGGGCCACGGGACTCACGTAGGACACACCGGGAGCGATCTGGGCCCACGAGGCATGAGCTCCAGCCAGGGCGCACACGAACATGACTACGGCAACGGCGAACTGAAAATCAAGTGGATTCCAAGGATTACTTACAAGATTCTAGACTGAGTTCTTCACAAAAAAAATATTGAAAAAACTTTGAAATGTTCTTGATCTCCTTCAGAAGGCTTCTGATATCCTGTCTCACCTTCATGTTGGTTTTTTTGGGGTGGGTATTGAAGTTGGGTTGTTGAAGGAGATGTGTGTTGAATACTCAGCGAACGAGTTGATTCTGATTTCGACTACCAAATTGTGGCAACTTATATACGAAAAACGCGGCGCGGACTTTGCTTGCTTTTCCAATTCAAAAACCGAAACCTGCCCCCCAAGCCAAGAAAAATATATATCAAAAAGCCAGCCAGAGAGGCAAACGGCGTGAGAGACTCTGCTCCAAAGACGTCGACGCCCAAGTCTCGGGCAGAATTGGAGTACCCACTACCCAGTACCCACAACCCAATACCCAGTACACAGTACCCAGTATTTAGTGCCCAATAGCCGGTGCGGTAGATCCGCTCCGGGTTTTGGCCTTTCACTGCCCAGCTGCTCGAAGATCTCTGCCTTGGGTGTCGCTTCCCGGTGCCGCTTACCCTCTCCCCTCTTCTCCCTGCCTCTTTCCATCCCCATCCGCCACTCACCTGACCAGCACCCTCCCAAACCCCACCCCTCGCTCCCACGAAAAGAGGCGGCGGGCGTCAATGATTGCGAAAATTACCACAGTCGAACTTCTTGCGAGTGAAACTATACCGATAAGCAATGCAATCTACTTGAATGTATGTTTAATTTAATACTTCCAGAATTTAATATTTTTATGTTTGTAATCGTTTAAAAATAAAACCAAACAATTAAATTAGTTTTATTGAAACCATTACCTACAAAATTAGCAAAACAAAAAAAAATGATCTAAGGACAAAAAAATTCTTTCAACAGGATTTCTACGCCCTACAGTATGTTTTTTCAAAAAAATAGTATTATAAAAACATTTATAGTAGGTACATATAATATATACATAACACACAGAAAGAAGGATAATACAAAAATATAATACCCCAGCAGAATTATTTTAAAAAAAATTAATTAATTAAAGAGTTTATGAATTAAGATTAAGAATAAAATTTCTTTTAATTAAAACATAGATGCTAAAAATCCACGCTAAGTAAGCCCCACTGTACAAACAAGAATTTACAGCCGAGGGTGAAACACAAACACAACCATAGATATTGAGCAGACACAATCGGTTGGCCCAATCAGGGGCTTGAAAATTGCCACAAACACCAAATTATATTGATAAAGCACAAACACATTTAAAAAGTCATAGGCAAGGGGCCCAAAGCATTCAATTTGCTATGGCACAGACCAAAGTTTTTGCTGCATTGGCTTTCAGAATTCTTTGTTGCAATTATCTGCTGCGTTGGTATGAGTGATCGATTTGCAGCTTGGGGCATGGAATTTCAGTAAAGTAAAGTAAAATAAAGTCGCGTGCCTACACTGAAATAACCATTACTTTGGCCCAAGGCGGACTTAGAACTTTGCCTTTGTAATGTCTCAATCAATGCAATAATATTAATTAAACTTTAAATGCCAAAAAACTAGTCGACCGTTAAAATCCTTCTGTAATCAGTGATGGTTGAAAAATCCCCTAGAAGTTTTAGGTTAATAAAATTAATTAATAGATATTGGACTTTGCATGCCAAAGGGAAACAAACCCCCTAATATTCCTCTTCTTTCTGGCCACAATTTAACTGTGAATAAATATTGAAAAAATTTCAAAAATCTTTTAAATACATCACTCTTGGCCAGAAATATCATAAACATTTACGTCAGCAGGGTCGTGACTTCCAGTCGCAAATATCCCGAATTCTAGACTTTTTCGCAGTGTTTTAAATAAACAATTAGCCCCTGCAGTTTTGCTGCCCGCTGCTTCGCCAAAAATAGGAAGGCAATGCTTTTATTACGGAGGGGCAACGCCCAAGAATAAATATAATCAAAGGCTGTCAGCATTTGCAAACAATAAAAATGCAAAATAGCAAAGCGAATTGGTGGACTACATTTCCATGTTTGGGGCAATCGGCTCAAAGCCCCCAGCCAATTGCAGCCTCAACTTGAAATTGTCATGGGCATGCAGATCAAAAACAAAACCTGGCCACGTTTTCGGACGTGGGTCAGAGTGTCAAACTGGCCAAATGTGAGACTGGAACCATTTAGAGGACAGCTGCAGCAAAAATATATGCGATCCATTAATCACACCCAATATGATTATGCATAGGGTTCGCAACGGGTCTCGTTGGAATGTCATACTCGTCTAACTTGCTCAATTAGATCGAGCATGTGAAAAAACAACCAGAGCAATTTTGTATTTGAAGAACGGGCCCTTCACCTCAATTCTAATAGAGCTTCATTAGGAAACCAGCAAATCCAATTGCTTTCAACCGATGACGAAATAGTCGGCGTTTTATTGCAATTTTGGAGATTTTTATTACGATGACCAGCAGACAATGCAGGCCAATATTTTAGGGCGTGTTTCCCCGCTTTTTCCTATTCTATTTTATGCCATTGTTTCGCTTTGGCAAGTGGGCGGGGCGCTCTAGTAATAACCATCTTGTCGGTTTGGTAATAATCGGTCAGTTTATCGCCCGCAAATCGCATAATTGGCGCAGGTTTTAAACCACGCCGCAATTATGCAAATTTTATAAACACATTTGCATGGCAAATCATGCAAAAAAAAATTTTATTAAAAAAGTATTGTTATTTAAAAAATTTTAAATTATTAAAGTCTCATTTTCTTTTTAGGCTTCAAAAAAGTCTTGTTATGTATAATTATTTTTGGTCATTTTCTTCTTTTCATTTCTTAAATACATTTTAATGATCTTAAATCGCATAGTGTGTAAGGGCCTTTTAAATTCCCTTGGTGAAATGCAGCCCTTGTCTAAAGTGTCAAACAATTCTTGACAGTTCTCAAGTTGAAAACTTTGTGCGCGACGGTCCCGAAAATTTTTACAAATTTGTATTTTTGTTCTATTTTTCTATCTACAAAATGAGTCAACTGATTACCAAAGCCAAAGTCCTCGTCGATAGTAAGTTCTACACTCATAGTTTAAGAAACATATGTATAATCTTACTATTCTATTAAACAGAGGCGATTGTGGCTGCACGTCCGCAACTCAATGAGTTCTGGAAATATGCCAAGGTGGAGCTATCCCCTCCACTGCCCGCCGATTTCCAGAAGCTAAAGCAGACCGCAGAGACCGCCAAGAACATGCAGGGACAGCTGAAGAAATCTGGACTTAGCCAAGTTACCGTCAGCGAAGTCTGGCTGAATTTTCTGGTCACCGTGGAGGTTATCACCTGGTTCTACATGGGCGAGGTCATCGGTCGCCGTCACTTCGTTGGCTACAAGGTCTAAGAAACTGATCCAATTTTACTTTTGATGTTTATTAGTTGTATGGAAATACCTATCTGCATACCTTTATTTTTTTGTGACCAGGTGCACTGAATAAAAGAGCGCCTTTAGCATTGCAATGGTGTATAAATATTTGATTTTCCTATAGGAATGTTAACTGAGTTTGATTAATCCATAATGGACCTATTATCAAGGCTACTTTAAGTGAAATAAACTACTGTTAGCGTAATAAGGAAGTAATTATTGGGAAAATTAGTTTCTTTAACAAAATATTGTCATTTCTGATGGATGGTTAGCTTTCCTTGCATCTCTGCGGAAACAAAATAAACATGGTTTTCCCTAATGTCTTTCAGTTGTTTGTACATATTTGCATGCATAAATTTTCTGTGACCAGGTGCACAGCATGCGGAATCCCACTCGGTTTTTAAACTAATGCCACGCCTCGAATTCCGGAGAACCATTGGCCCGGCATGAGCAACGCGCTCAATTGAGATCTGCGAACCGTTGAGCTGGCATTGATCTTGGGCATAAAATTCTGATTCCTCATCTGGGCGGCGAGTGCGCAGGCGTCCGAGCGGCAAAGCGTTAAGTTTTTAAGGCGGTGAGACAGCAAACACAAGCTGCACTCCGGTCAAGTGGCATAAATCAGAGTGACGCCGTGGCAGTTGCACAACCCAAACCCAAACAATGCCAACGGACGTGTGCCCCGCCAACTGGCCAACTCGTAGGTACAGTCAAAATAGATATATTTAATAAAAGCACACTGGCAGGTTTCAGCTCTTTACAAAAAATTAGCTTATAGAATGCTACAATGTTAAAGCAAAGAATTTAAATTACATACTGTTGGGTAATAAAAAGATAAATCAAACTGTTTAATTAAATGCACCCAATATGTTTTGTATCGGAAGCACTAAACGTTTTACTGCGAATTTGTTTGTTTCACTGTAGTAAATCGAATCTACCGCCTGTCCCAATTTTAATGGCATTTTAATAACAAAGCCAGCCTGCTAGCAACAGCCTTTGTTGCAATATCACCGACCGATTGCATCATGCTAAGGCCGTATGGTTTATACGGTGGGTCCTTATCACAACTCCCCGACGGACAACGCCCACTTTTGGCCAGATGAAGGCGAATTTCGTATTAAAATCGCATAAAAAGAATGAAACTAATTTTGCAGCGGAGGAGAGCCATTGGATTCAGAGGGGGAAATCAATGTTAGGCACGCTTGAATTCAATTTGGCGGCTGCCGATTGTTGCAACTTGTTGCTTGCAACTTTGAAGTAGCAACGAGGTGGAAAACCAGTGGGGTGGGCCTATCGCCAGCCAGCGAATTTGGTTTCCAGCATTTGGTAACTAGCATTTCCACCCACACCGCCAACACCTCTGGCCTGCTGCTCATTATTTAATTTGGTTTTCATACCCTACGTGTGAAATAAACACCGGCGGTCCACCTGACACACCTGCAAGGCTCATTAAAATTCAAATGATTGTGAAACAGAAAGAATTGGAAACCACAATATCAAAATTTTTTGACTGGAAAAATTTCATTTTTTTAATTTTCATGATGTGTGATATGATTGTCTGATGCAATGATAATTTATAATTAGAAAAAAGAGAAACAAATTGTTTGATATATAAATATTAAAACTCTTTGCCAATGAATTTAAGTTATTACTTTAAAACAATTTTTTCTACAATGATTTCCAAACAATTTTTTAATAAATTTGATTTTCAATGAATAAAAGAGTATCTTAAATTTATAATTTTATTTTTATTATTGCACAAGGGGTAGTGGTATTAATACTTAAGAAATATTATGGTAAGATCAACTACGGGTCGACCAAAACAATCATTTTTCACTTTTAATTGTTGTTCGAACTAAATTAATTTAACCAGCCTGCATGGGCAATCACACTTGGACTCTGGCAAGGAATTTTCGAGTGGGCGGCCTCGAAAACTTTGTATTTTTTTTGGGTACTGAAAAAAGCCTTGCAAATGATGCAATTGCAATCGTAACGCAATCGATTGGCCATATATTCCCCAGCAACCGTTAGCTGGCGATCAAGATCTGCGGGTAATTAATCCAATTACAATTAGTATGCTAAGGGGACGCTTAATGGTCATTAGGTGAGGGCCATAATTAACCACTTTTGTGGCCACGGTTGTCACTAAACAACTGTCACAACTAACAGAGAGCTTAGTGATACAATTGTTGCTAATTCAACGAGTTCTTTACGGGCCGGTTAGTGTGTTTATGACGTTAGCAAGTGGCTGGCGGAATGTCTGGATTGTGGGCCCCTTTTTTTCCTTTATTTATTTATTTTTTTTCCATCCAGCTGCTGCCACGAAAATCACAAAAATCTAAGCGAGTGTGTGCAACAAGTTTGTTTGCGGCGCATGCAACCCGCCGAGATACTTGTCGCTCACTCGGCGTTGAATATTTGGCTACAGGTTGCCAGCCGTACTATATTTAGGCCACCAACCAGTTGTGGGTGCGGATAAGAAAGCTGTGCCGTGGCAGTATTACGAAATCCAGCCAGCAAAGTGGGGTTTTTTTTCCTTTTTTTCTGGCTCTGTAAATCGATTGTAAGTGTCCACAAAAAACCGCCTCGTTCTGATCTGTTCTGCTGAATGAATCACTCGAATGCAAAACTGGCTCGATCCTTTGCTGAAACACTGACCTTATTCAATAACTCATCGCCTACGCCAAAGTGTGTGGCTTAAATGATGTAATGGCTTTATGCACTGGTAAAAATTGCATTATTAGAAACTCGTATTAAAGCTTTAAAAAAATGTATAACTATATATAAGTAACCTCATTAGCACATGATTGAAACAGGTTCGAGGAAAATCCTCAAGGTGTCCAATTTATTTCACGTTAACTTACACGCTATTAAACTAATGCAAAATAATTGTACCTGTCGGGGTAGTATAATTAGTACTTCATATTTTATTAAATCAGTTTCCATAGGGAATTAAATGTTATTTGTATTTTGCTTTGAAACTAAATAAGCCTATTAATTTTTAGTTACAATTAAATAAACAATTTCACACAAAAACTCAAAAGGTTTTACTGAAGATCTTTGACTTTTCTTGTATTATTTTTTATAACTAAAGAATAAGTTAGTTAACTACCAAATCTTAGATAAATCATTTTTAATAATAAATTCACTGATAAATTTTAAGTTTTCTTGTGTAGTAACCAGAAGTGATCACCAACCCATAACCAAACTGCCTTCGCCTTGCCAACTAAAGTGCGAATTGCGTAGAGCAAAAAGCAAAGGAAATGCATTGCAGTGGGCCAAGTTGAACCCCATTCTGCGTGGCCAGAAAACTAGAAACCAGAAACTGCGAAATGCGTTCGGCTCAAGTGCGTCGTGGTGCACTGAACCCGCTCAAAGCAGGAAGCCACAAAGTGCGTAAACTTGAACTTGCGGTGCACCACACACAAAAAGGTGGTTCGGGCCCAGTTGCAATCGGTGGCTGCGTCGTCATGCGTTTTGTGGATTTGCGTGCACGCAGCCGGCGGTGGAGTTGAGCACACTTGCGAATAAAGAAAACAAAAAGTGAATGGCTGCGGCTAGATTTATGGCCAATTGCTATGGGGCTTGGCTGCCGACACGACACTAAACAACGCCGGCAAAATGTTTAGCTGCTGTTTGTCTAGCTGCCACTTGGCCCCCGCGCTCCCTCTCCACATTTTCGACCCGCCCAACTTCTTTTTTAGCCTCACGTTCCGGCGCCAATTGACACTTTTATTGAAAGCCCAGGCATTTTTCACTTATCATGTTTTTCGGTCAAATCCATTTCCAGTCAAAAAGCTGCAGAATCAAGTCAGCAGTAATTGGTTACTTGTTAAATTATTTTAATAAATAAATTAAGTAAAATGAAATACACCTTCAACGCATTTTAATATTTTAAATTAATTGAATGTTATAATACATTTATAAAGCGTATACTTTGTTAACAATTTATATTTTTTATAAAAAAAAATAGGTTTCTAAAATCATAAAAACTGTACAACTTTTCGGGGAACAGAAAAACTTTTCAAAAGAAAACACAGAAACCTTTGCAGAACCCTTTCCATTAAATGAAAAAATTCAATTTAGATTAAAACCTTCATTAAATAATTTCTAAAACGATTTATAAATTTGCATCAGTTGTTCAGTATGCTACTTTCACAAGGTAAGGCAGTTTTTTTAATAATTTCCAAGAAACAAGTTAGCACAACCAACAATAAAAAGGTTAATAGTTTTAATCAATGTTTTTAAACTTTTAACGACCTACTAATCAAAATTAGTACACTACTTTTAGTGGAGCTTTACTTGCGTGTTGATTTATATTTTGTAACCACCAATGGTATAGAAAAGTTTTATGTTTTCCATTAACATGATATGATTTAACCAGGCCACTCTGTTTTCCAATTATTTCCGAGAAAATATAACATTAAAATACATGACATTGAGTGATTATAAATGCCTAACTGCCTACTGCAAATGTAGGAAAACGACTATTAGCTAAGCTTTATTTGCATTGACACAAGTATTGACTAACATTTTGCCCTCTGTGGCAATAGAAAATCCTACGTATCCCATTGAGATCGGGAACAATCGTCTAACGGCTTTTAGAGGCCCACAGTGGGCGTTAAGGCGGATCCGATTTGAGCTGCATTACTTTGCATGGCCATTACTTAACTCCATCGCTGCCATATCAAGTTTTTGCACATTTTTTCTATTAATAATTGCAAGTGCGAGTGTGCGGCGATCAAGGCAAACGGCCCCTGCTCCAGATCGCGTAGTATTACTCTCGTTTTCAGTTCAAAGACCAGTTCGGAGGCAGTTTCTAAGTTGGCAACAAAGTTGTCCAGCTGCCGCCGAGCAACAGCTCTCGTTTCTGGAGCGGCTTTGTCAACGCCCCTGCTGAAATGGCGCTCTGAGGCCCCGGAATTGATTAATTACTGGCATCGGTAATCGGACATCGATCGAGATTGTTTTAAGCCATTTAGCTGTTTAATATTTGCCAGACTTTGAAGTCGTGGGAGTTGGGCAAAGGGTGGGGTCTCTAATGGCGATCAAAAGGTAAGCCTAATTTCGAAATAATTATCTCAAACAATTATTCTGGGATCAAAGGGTTAGCAGATTGCATAAGAAATAGCAGAGCAATTGTGTTTAATTAATTTCTAATAATGCTGTATCTCGAGTATTTTGCTGGCAATTAAATGTGAATAGTTACAGATTTGTTTTCATTCTAATAAACAGAACTTGTAAATAAAACCAAATAATACATTATAAATTTGTAATATGTAGGTATAATTGTATTTTCTGTTTTATTCCTTACTTCTTTTTATATAACCCATAAATTAAATAGAAAACATTGTTTTAATAACATTTTTTTATTCAAGAAGAAACAAATTTCCAGATGACAACAGTGGGGTGGATAAATATAGACCAGAAAATAAAGCGGAAAGCGATAGACTGGATAGGATTGACTTAGATTGCTGAAGAAGTGGGAACCCGTAGGGATCCTAAGATCCTTTGGGAACGTAAGAAACCCAAAAATGTGTTACAGATGCGAGTAGAGTGAAGGTCAAGACCGATGTGGGGGGATATCCATGGGGTATTCCAGGTGTTTACAAGGTGCCCGGTGCGGGTTGCAGGTTCACGGAGGCGGCGGACTGGACATGTCCCGGCAGAGGAGCTACATGGACGGCTCCACGGGTCTTGGCCACATAGCTGGCTTCCGGAACGGCGACGGCGACGGCGACGGGAGCGTGGGCAGCCACCACGGCGGGAACGGGAGCGGCGACCACCGCTGGTCCGGACTGGATGAGGACGGGACCGGCTGGGGAAAGGGCCACGGGAACGGCAGCGGGAACAGCGGAGGCCTGGATGGCCACCGAACCGGCGACGGCGGGAGCTCCAACCACCACACCTCCGTGGACGGAGGTCAGGAGCGGCACCACCGAGCTGTTGACTCCCCAGGCGAAAGCGAACAGGACTACGACAACGGCGAACTGGAAAAAGGATAGAAATCCAGAATTAGAAAGCTATTTAAATTTAAAGATAAGTCTATAGCATAATTTAAATATTTTTATTCAAATGGCATACATGTATTTTTTTTATTGTTAAGTAATAATAATAATATTATTTATATAGGTCTCCAATTAAAATAAGAACATTAATTTAATCCAATGCTCGTTAATCTCAATTCCTAGTTTAGAATATATGATGTAAATAAATATAGTGCTATACTAAAATAAATTGTACCACAAAAATAAAATTGCTGTTGCATGTGGACTTTGCATGTAGTAAAACGTTTACTTTAAATCTCTAAATTAAATTAATATTTTCTTTAATTGGAAGATAATTAAAACCTGGTTTGAAATTAGATGTACTTTGTGTCTTGAACAGACTTCATAAATTTTATTAATTTTCCTTGCGCTTTGGAGATTTTTATTCATTACCCAAAAACTTTTGGTTTAGTAATTCGATACATTGAACTAAAATGTTCGATTCTTTGTCACTTTTTTTTGGTTTCTTTTAGTTTTAGTTTTAGCTACCACTTGCTTTGAACCAAGCTATAGTTATCCGATATATCCCTTTGATCTCACCTTCATGTTGGCTTCTGTGATCTCAGTGACGCTTGAAACGAAACTAACTGACATCTGCCCGTTGGACCAGAGCTTTTATAGCTCCGATCCATAATTCCATTTAGCATATAAGGCCAGTTCTCTGATCTGCCAGCCATGTGTATGTTTGCTGCACAAATGCGGAAACTGGCCCAGAGAACAAACCAGGTAATACCCCCAACCCCTTGACCTTCCCGAATCAATATCGATAGCCCATTGACGACAATTCAAGTGCGCAACGATTAGCCACGCCGGTTGACAAGAAGAAAACAAGACTGGTCGCATTTGATTCGGCCAATCCATAACCATGACTTCAATCTAAATAATATATAGTAAGGCTTAGTGTCGGGTGCCCCTAACAACAATGGATAGGCAAATTACAAGCCACCGTAGAACCACTGTACCACCTTCGCCCCACACACATTCAGCACCACTGGCCGTCCATTAAAATTTCATCAGCTGAACGTAATTAAATTCACTTCGGTAAGCTCGCCCTGAAATTAATGTGGCCGCCGCCACTTCTCGGCAGACTGATCCATTTTGGTCACCGACTCTAGACTTCTAGATTGCATTTGCATATCGCTAATGCAGCCAACGCCAACATATGTCCACTGATGCGGGAAAATGGCCCAAGGGTAGAAAAAATCAATAATATAAAATCTTAATTGAACTGATTTTTTCTTAATTAATAAAACTTTTTATAAAATCTTAATAAATAAGATGCATGTATAAATGGTGTATCTTTGGTTATCAACTTAAGAAAAATCGTAAGTAAATTTAATAAATAAATAAAAATCAATAATAAAATAAATGAATTTAAATTTATCAGGCTTAAAAAAATTATCTTAATAAATTTGTAATACCTTTTCCAAAGAGTATTTTGCAATGGCTTAATAAAACTTTTAATATTACTATAAGTTTATTTAACCACTTTCGCTTTCTAGTCGGAAGGCAATAATAGAATTTATTTATTAACTCTTATCTAATTTATTGCGAATCATTTGTATATCAATAAAACTGGTTGAGAATAAAATAAAAAAAATGCAACTTAAATGAGCATGACTAATCCATGAAATGGTTAAGATAATATTGACCATTTTCAGGTTACTAAATTATAACAACATGATTCCCTTTTATTCAACACTCATTCTAAGATTTTGTCAAAACAAAATCTTCAGTCAGATTACACAAAAAGTTATTCTATCTTATACAAGAACGTTTTATATTTTAAAGGACTTTACAAACACGATTATTTTACTCTAAAGAGGAGTTAATATGGCACGTCTGGTGTTCACGGAGAAAGATCACAATGCCTACGATCCCAAAAAGTACAAGGTAGCTTCAGATCACTTCACACAAAATCTATATAAATTGTAAAATTTTATTTTAATCTTAAGGTGAAGCACAAGAACCACTGGAGGCAGGTGAGCCTATTGCTACAGCCTTCGAACAAGAAATGGTGGGAAGATCCCGATGTCATTGTTGCGTGAGTAGAAAACATTTAATACCAAACCACCAGCTAAGAGGGCGGCGGGTGGTGGAAAAGTGGGCGGGAAATGCACACGTGTTTCAGAACCCATTGCCATCAAGTGCTTTTCGTGGTTTTTACAACCTTACAAGGAGAAAAAAGTACACTTTAAATTTAGTACGTCAAAACATAAAAATATTTTTCTTGAAATAGAAAATGTTCCATGTTTATAAACATTTTAAGTAATTCCATAAATTTTGAGTTTTTATAAACATATATTTTATATTTTATATTTGTAGTAAAATATATCATACTTGCATCTATTCTTAAGCAAAAAGCGAATATTAAAATTGTTACCCCATTGACATTCGTATAAAAAATTATAAAATCATTTAATATTTATATCAATTATGTCGAACTTTGAGTAATATAAAAACTTAACTGATATTTTGAAGAAGTTTGGGGTAATAAATTGAAGCAATTATGTAAGACAAGAAAGGAATTTTAAGGCCATTTTTAGGACTTTTTTCCTGTGTAGCTTATTTGCCTGATTGTTGGTTCTGAGTCTCTGACACCGATTGGCGCCAATGCAGCCGTTGCCATTCAATTAAGATTCTTTGCCACAGCCGCAGCCATAATATTTTATTGCATCCATCAAATTGTCAGGCTTACACACAAAGTATTGCCCTACCACACCCAGAAACATTTCCATGGCAATTAAATCCGCGATGGGGAAATATTCGCACTCGGTTGCATCACATCGTCTGATAAGATTATATATCGCCAACCCATTCTGCTCGCCAAACTTGTCCAAAAATCATTCTCGGGTTGAGTGGGTGGTGCTAATTTCCGGACAAACTTCAGTCACGCGATGCTAACGACGCCTTTGATAGATGGCTCAACTTCTCGAATGCAAATGAACACCCAGAAACGGCGAATGAAAAGGAGCAAGTGCAGCCATCAGCTGTCGGGGAAACTTTGGCAAGTAATTGGGGAGCAGGAGTGATGGAAACGGGAATTTGGCTTGGTTATTCCCACTGAGTTGGCGGGGCTGAAAAGTCAGGAATTATCTGGCCTCAAGGTTAAGATCCTCGCGAGAAACTAGGGAAATTTAAACTGTAGGAAATTTAATGCATTGCTATCAAAGCTTATAGAATTCCCTTACACATATTTTCTTAAATTAAATTATTAGAAAAAAAGGAACCTTTTTTTGTTTAGAGAGATTTTTAGTAAGATGGCAAAGATGGTTTAATTTTAAAAATGTTTATAAAACGATTAATCTTTGGATGACTCTTCATAAAACTGATCAATTGTAAAGCTACTGTCCTTGGTTTTTTGTAACTTGACCACTCAATGTAGATATTAGGTTGTTCGACGCAATCTTCAATCATTTTCACAAACATGTCATTAAAAACAAAAACCTGACAATTGATAAAAATATAGGCACTGATTTTTTTGTTAATTTTTCTTAAGCACTTAATATACGTTAGGAGTGGGTAAAAGTTAACCCATAGAACAATTTTATTTTGTGTCCAAACAATTTATTAGAACTTTGCTTCCTTTTTCACTTTCAATTTAATTAGACCAACTTAAATTTTCAACAAAAATCTCAATACGTGACTGAGGTACCAGGTGAAATGACTTTTCGTCTAAAGCATTGTAAGAGAAACTCCCTTGAGCAGCCCTTCGCTCCATTAGCACTGGCATTACCCGACTTTTGTCTGAGCTGCGTATCCACAATGATGCGAGGTGCCAGGCAAAGGGCCCGAAAAACAATCGCGAACGGGGTAATGAAAAAGCCATTTGGGAATGGGCCACAATATATAATACTATACCATACTATACGGGTATAGAACACCGATGCAATGCCGACACTTTGCGTGTTCAATAAAAAGGAAAGCGGCAAGCGGAAAACGGTGTCAGTGCGAGGACAACGAAGAAGGAAAGTACTTAAGCGGCGCGTCACTCAATCAGAATGATATTATTTTTAATGGCGCAAAATGGATACAATAAACAGCGAGTACGAACGCGTGGCTGCCACGCAACGGACACGCCGACGACGGCGAAGGCAAAGACGAGTGGTGATGGTGATCCCACCCAGAATCGTGTGCCATACAAAGTTCAGACGTCGCAGGATGAGGACGAAGTTTTTTAAACGGAATCGGAAACTTAATTACATTTCAATTTGGGCCTAAGCAAACTGTTCCGCATATGTCACTCACGGCCGTGAAGGCTGATGCCGCCGGGATCGGTGTGGTGGGTGCCTGCGGCACTGTTGCACTATCCGAGTCCCGGGAGTGGGCACCTCCGCCGCCGGGCAAGCGTTGCGCCACGGTGACTATGCTCCTCGCCCAGCGGATTGCACGCAACGCTTGCTGGTCAGTCGACGAGGAGCCTTCGTACAGTGCGAACAAGATGAACGTCTGGCAAACGCTCGAGTATCTCTCCGGGCTGAGTCTTCGCAAGAAGTACAACTACGAGGGCTTCTCGGACACCCAAAATGTGATCAGAACACTAACACCATCCTGGCGAAGGGATAGCTTCGCGGAGAAGGCAAAAGCCGAGGAACTGACCGGTGGAGCCGTCGCCTCATCGGTGAAGTATCCCGAGGAACGCTCCACGAGTGCTCCTTTGATTGCTGTCGAGGAGCCGGCCATTAGCACAAGTTTCCAGAGCAGTGATAACGTCGCATTTGGTGCCCGATCCGGAGCGAAAAGTCCATCCGTACACTTCCGAAAGCATCGCGGTCGGAACCGGAAACGGAATGCTCCGCACCTGGATCCCGAATACGCTCTCTCGCCGGAGGACTTGCAGGATTTGGTCAAATGCAAGTAAGACTTAAATGGGGTTTTATAAAACTCGAAAGTCATCATTTAAAATACAACATAAATATTAAAATATTTTTAAATTTTTTTTATACCAAGGAATATTTAAAAAACCTCTTTAACCAAATTTCAACAATTTCAAGTAAAACCCATTAAGAATAAATAACTCGCTACAAAAAACTTTTTTTCTCTAAAATTACCTAACACAGTTTAATAATTTTCCTAAAATCACAAATTTGTTCACTTACTTTCACTTTTGTTTAAGGACTAACTAAAACCACAATTCTTATAGTATACATTTTTTACTCATTAAAATATTGGCAATAATTATCATTTTAAAAATAAATTTTTATAGAAATTTAGCGAACTATCTAAAGCAGTGTTTCCCAAACTTTTCGGGACCGCGACCCACCTACACAAAAAATTGCAAGATCTATATGACAATTAGTACCCAGCAAAAATCTACCCGCGACCCACCAGTGGGTCGCGACCCACACTTTGGGAAATACTGATCTAAAGGCATCTAACTAGTGTTTTTTCAAGTGTTACTAGTCAGAAAAGCTTTCCACAAAGCTCAAAACTTAGCAGAAACGCCAACCTTTGGGGTTTAGGAACAAAACAATGCAAAGCACAAACCAAAATTGTACGTATATATTTACATATTCGGTTTTCATGATTTTTTTATTATTTATGAAAAACGATTTTTTTATGAAGTCGAAAAAATGTCTTAAATGTGATCGTAAATAAATAAAAAAAAAAACCCCATACACACAAAAATTTTTGACTTTTGAGTAAAGTCAATGCTTTAGCCAAAGCTAATAAAAGTGGATTTTTATGCCAGACTTTGTTCTATTCTATCCTTACCGAAGGATTAAATATCCACCAAGAAAAACATCTTAGATGAAGCAAACAATAAATTGCAAATGTCATCACTGAATCAGAAGTATTATTTTATTAATCAGACGGGAATTCGGGATTGGGAAATATGACAGCATATAGTGTATCCTGCACTCTTGTCTTCTGGCAAATAAAAATCACAAGGGACCTTAGCGCAAAACGAATACTCCGATTTGTGGGGTACCTCAAATATGTTGTTGTAGGTTGGGAAAATAGCTGTCTCAAACCCTGATGCGTTTGGGTTTTTTCTGGTTATCCTTTTGTAAATCCATTTGGGGACTGGGTTTGTTGCACCAGAGATAAGAGTAGCGGATTTATAATTATTATATTTTTTTAGTTCCAAAGTTCCAAAGCCTCCAGTGCGAACAATTAGTCCGGTGTCGTCTAACACCTGTGTATGCACATACCTTTCGATATTTCCCCAATTTCGACGGTTAATTTCTGCGAATTGGGGGACCACATTTATAAGCTTAAACGTGGATTTCATTTGATCTTCGAAGAGGAAATCTCTTCTGGCCGTCAAGTGTCCGCGATTAATGACTTCAACTCCTCGCGGTATATACGTTTGTGCAATTCCATAGAGTGTTAAAAATCTCTGGTAAATGCTGTTTGTGTAAAACGAGTGGGATGCCTCTTCCGTCATAACCGGAATTCGTGAGAACTCAAGATTTGTAGGACGTGGGAGAACTGAGGTATGATAATATTCAAAATTATGGAGACTTAAAGTATAAAAAACTTTATATAATTTGTATATAGACACTCACTTATGTTATGTGGAAATATTCTGGCCTGTGAGTAAATAGCTCTCGAAGCCTTTTTATCGTAGCACACGTCATACAACTTCAGAAACTGTCCGTTGATCTTATGTCCAGTTGAATAAACCTCTTTTGGACAATCGGCATAGACCCTTTTGTCGCCAGTATAAGGTTCTACAGTGCTTTCAGGAGGATTTCGGGTGCACCGAATAGGCAACTGGGGTTCGAAAACGCTTTCTTCGTTTTCGGTTTTGCAGGTTATCGTATGGGTTTCTCCGCCACCACAATACATTGTTAGGGTAACGCCATTATTTACCCTCGATGAGAGTTGTAATTGAAGGTTGCCTTGAGCATCCCGATAGGTGAAGATTCCATTTGAGCCAAGTACATCTCCGTAGGTGAATAAACAATTTCCTTTTACTTCCCCCACTGCTAGCAGAATAAAAATTATTTTATGTTTTGTTGTACTTTCTGTGATAATTTACCAAGTATTGCGGCTATAAGAAGCACGTAAATCTTCGCCATCGTCGTTCCCGTAGTGCTGAACGATTCAGATTGGTGCTTAATTTATACCTCAGATCTGATCCACCGGACTTGTCATTCACGTCGACTAACAGTCGCTCTTTTCATGTCTTAACTTAAAAAAAAATAAAGTCACTAATTTAATCAGAGAAGCATAGACATTATTTTAACACAGTATATAAGGGACCAAAGTGCATAAAAATAAAACATTATTATGGATGTAATTTAATTTAAGATATTATAGAAGATTAATATAAAATGTTATCTTAATTTTAATGGTACCTTTAGCTTTTCAATTAGAAAATTGGGTTAAATAGTAATACATTTCTGCAACTTGATAAGTAGTATTATAGAGTACAGATTCTGGCTGATCGACTCTTCAAAAGATAAATATCTTAAAAGCATAAATTAATGATAAGGTCAGGGCTATGTAAGCTTCGGCTCAACGAATCTAGCTTCCTTTATTTTTCATTAAAAGTTTAATCAGTTCTTATTTTTTATTCTGAGAAAAAGTTCAACCAAGTTTAAAAATAGAACGCAGGTTATCAACAATTTCTTCGATTCTAGTGAGATAACATTTACATTGCATTTTTAAAGTAAACAGTTTTAATATTATTTTACTTTTATGCACGTTGGTGCAACAACAACAATAATAACTTATAGCAAAAGTATTACCGGCAGCACCTAGGCAAAGACAATCCCAAAATTTCAAACTCCTTGACCAAAAAACAAGGCTGGGAAACACCAGCTTGACACAAAGTGTTTGCTCAATTTCCGCGCTCCGAGTCGATTAGAGAAAATTATTGTATGTCTCGTTGGCATGAAGCGCGGCCATAAAGCGAAATTGTTATCTGGTTTCATGGTAATGTGAGACTTCCGCCCACCACCCGCAAAGTCCTGCCCCTTTCAAAACCCTTCCCTTGAGGGATAGATTGCCATTCCCTTGCGGAAAACTTTCAGTCAACGGTTTCGTGCTTAAACAAAGAGACACGGAAAAACGAGATCTAACGGTGAAATAAACACCGACAGTTTTTGGCCATAAGGAAGGCCCGAGGGAAAACCAATAGGCAAAATGGTGAGCGCGCGAATGGGTTTTTAGAACCACCGTCAAAAAATGAAGTTGTCACCTCAGAGTGCAACCTTGAAAACTTTTGTCAATCCTTTTATTTTGAATGACAATCCAAATGAAAGGTAAACCCAAATTATAGGAACGCGAAACGCAAAAAGCCACTTTTGCCAAAGCTTTTCTTACCAACTTATTTTGACACTGGACTTCTTGGCAAATTGAGAAGAAAATTGTTGTAGGACTTTTAGAACACAAATAATTTTTCTTTAGGAAAAGGTTGTTTTCATCCTATCCTACCAATTTTTTATTTATATTAGCCATCATCAGCCATAAAACTTATAGCTATTGATGAGTTAGAAATCTATATTTAACCCTAAATTTCTTTTTAAAAAATAGGAGTATGCTCTTACTGCTGGTAAAATCAATTTTATTAAGAAAGTTTAAGTTAAACTTGTTTGGAAGAAAATGCAGAATTTCACACCTTAAAGATTTCATTGTTCTGAAGGAACTCGAAATGTAGCACTTCTACAGCATACCGTGTATCCTGCTTCCCTAGACGTCTCGAAAATAAGATCCTTCGGACACGTGACCACAGTGCAAAATTGATGATCCCTTCTTGCGGGCACCTCATATATGCTGTTGTAGGATAGGATTAAAGCGCTCTGAGTCCCTGGTCCATTTGGGTTCTGCCTGATTACTTTCTTATAAATCCATTTGGGGACTGGGTTTTTCCCGCCTTCGATAAGAGAGGCGAGTTTGTAGTTAGTACCTCTTTTTAATTTCAAGGTGTCAAAGCCCCCTGTGCGTACAATCAGTCCGGTGTCATCCAATGCCTGTTTATGCACCCATTGTTCGACCTTCTTCCAGTTTCCACCGTTAATACTAGTGAATTGGGGGACCACATTTACGAGCTTATACGTGGAGTCGATTTGATCTTCGAACAGAAAATCTGAACTGGCGGTCAAGTGTCCACGATCGATAACCTCAACTCCTTCATTTATATACGATTGATCATCTCCATAATTTTGTACAAATCTCTTGTAAATGTTTGCTGTGAAAAACGAGTAAGCATCGGAGACCGACATTACTGGATACGGTGAGAACAGTTTATCCAAAGGTCGTGGCAGGTCTAAAAAAATATAGTTATTTGTAACCTCTCTATCAATATTTAATCTTAAGATACTCACGTATTTCCGATGGAAATATTCTGGCCTGTGAGTAAATAGCTCTCAAAGACTTTGTATCGTAGCACACATCATACAACTTTAGAAACTTTCCGTTGATCCAGTGTCCAATTGAATAAACCTTTCCTGGACAATCCGCATAGACTCCTTCGTCGCCAGTATAAGGTTTTACAGTGCTTTCAGGAGGTTTTGTAACGCAACGAATTGGCAATTGGGGCTCAAAAACGCTTTTTCTGTTTTTGGTTTTGCAGGTTATCGTATGGGTTTTTCCGCCACCACAATGAATTGTTAGGGTAACGCCATTATTCACCTTCCGTGAGAGTTGTAATTGAAGGTTACCTTGATCATCTTGGTAGGTAAAGATTCCATTTGAACCATATAGATCTCTATACGAGAACAGACAATTTCCTTTTACTTGGCCCACTGCTATCAAAATAAAAATTAATTTTTGTTTTTAGTTAAGTGTTATTTGTCTGATAATTTACCGAGGAGCGCAGCTATTAGAACCACATAGATCTTCCCCATCGTCGTTCCTTGAGTACTGAACGATCCAGACTGCTGCTGTTTTTATACCCAAGCTCT